GGAGCAAAACTGCCAGAAAAATGACCGCACCTCGTACGCAAATAGTGTAGGCCCTACGCAAGGTTGTGGACCCATGAGAGGCCAAAATTTTAATCCGATTTTGATGAAACTTTAAAATAATATATTTATACCCCAAAGATCTCACTCACTTTCGATATTCACGCATTTCAAACCCTAACTTCCTGGATTATGGCCCGTAATTGTATGAAAAATCATGTTTTTTTTGTTTTAGCCATCTCTTGGAAAATGTGGGCGTATCTTGACTGGCAAGCGCTGGTTTAAAATATTGGGGGATAATTTGCAACCAATAAAAGTAATTATCGTAGCCTAAATAGTGTAGTACAGGTACAAAATAACGACGATGTATTACGTTATTAAAAAATATATTTTGATACAGGTATTGGATACGGCCACTTCTTTAAAATGGAATTTAAGTGAAGAATTTATGAACATCCTCAATATTACTATAAATAGTATATATAGAAACGTTTGTGTGAATCAGCATTTTGAGGTCTGTACTAAATACCATCATCATAAACTCATTTATATTTCAGGTTGTAATATATATTTCTGTCCATGTAATAAATATCTTCGGGCCAGGGTCAGCATTGGCCTATCTAGAGTTTACCCCACTCCTATAATTTAACCCCCACCGATCACTAAGAATAACACAATAGGTCACATCAAACATACCGTCAGTAAGCAGTCTTTCGTATGGCAAAATAAAATTATGTCCGGCGTGTTGTATCCTACCAGAAAACCACCTCTTTTCAATGCAGTAGATAAAAGCCCCCCCCCCCCCCCCAGCCCCAACTAACTTGTTGACGCACTTATTATCTAAATACCCACTTTGTATCAATTGGACGCCCCCCCCCACACACACCCAGGATATGTAACCAGTTTCGAAACTGTCCTTTTGGTGTATGTTTAGACTAGCTCTGTTTTATGTTTGACGTTATTCCACAATCAGTATTCCCGAGAGTCGCATGATGAATAACTAAATATGCCTTAATTATGTAACTACTGTATGTGTATATATTTTTATCTACAGGTCCTTCAGTACATGATTTCACAAAGTGACCCATTTAAGACAGCTAGTACATCTCTATTGTATTATATTACATTAAACTGTCATCTTATCAATCTACGCACACGAGAAATTTATCATATAGAGAAAAATGGTAAAAAGAAAACTTTTGAAAAATTCAAATATTACCAAGAAATTCCGTACGTTATAGAGGCATATTTATTTGCTTATTATAACATTAGCTCATGTTGGTATTCTGGACTGTTTAATTAACTTTCATTTTCTCACTATAATTCAAAATATTGAAAAAAAAAACCCACCATCCGATTTAAACAGGGAATTAATATAGGGCCGGTATATTTTATTTTTACAGGATATGAAGGTTTGTTACTAATAGTATCAGGTGAAGTTGAAACAGTAAACTTTCATATGATAGTTAATCAACAGAAAGTCGGTGATGTTATATGTAAGTATATAATCTCAGTGTAGAGTATGACTTCTTTTTTTATACGCCCGCATTTTCATGTGGACGTATATTGTCATCGCCCCTGGTCATTCGTCCGTTCACATTTTGTTTGTGGACATAGTACAGGTCATAAATTTTATCTGACTATAGCCCCTAAAGTAACGGTTTTAGCTTGTGGACAATCAAGAGGTTACATTTTGGATCCGATTTTGATGAAACTTGGCATGTATTGTTTATGACTTAAAGATCTCGGCTCCTTTCGATGTACTTACTCTCACTTAATTAGAACTAAAGTTATCGTGTCCCAAAGCATCAACCAATCAAATTGCTTATCTCTGCTTACCCTAAGCAGAAAATTCTCATCTTCTAACTCCGAACTCCATCAAGGCATTCACCTAATAAACACCTACACCAAGTTTGAACATTCTAGCTCAATTAACAGGAGAGTTATTGTGTCCCAAAGTCTTGACCAATAAAATTGCTTATCGCTCTGCTTACCCTGCGCTCAACTAGGAGAGTTGTTTTGTCCCAAAAAGTGTGACGGACGGACAGACAGTCCACTATTTTCTTCGAAAGGTGGGGGACAATTAGTAATGACTAATCATGTTAAGTCATGTTAAGAAAAATGTGAAACATATACTGAGCGCCATGGAAAACGCATCACTTTTTTTCCCAAATATTTTATTACTAGGTGGTTTTGTATGTATAATATTATGCAATACTATGAACTATTGTTTCACACAATGCTCCCAAACGCAAAAAATATCGGCCCGTGTGCACAAAAAAAAATTGCACGAGATGCACATGAAAAACCCAATATTCACGTGCAGCATTGTGTGTGAGCCCTTTAAAAGCATGTTTTCAACTTAATGTGCAGTACATGAACTGTGAAACGTCAATCTGTCGTAATTTGTTGTTGGACGTGTGAAGGAATCGAGCTAGAGATGCTGAGACTTACTGAAAATCAACGGAATGAAACCATGGGAATGTCCCGGGCTGGCATGTCTACACGTGCTATTGCCAGACACTTCAATTGTCATCAGTCCACTATTGTAAAGTTGGTGGAACGTGTTCGAGTTACTGGATCAACGTCCTGGCCCACAACGCGTTACAACCCAGGCTCAAGACCGCTACATCTGCGTGACAGATTCCGCCCAGCGACTCGAACAGGTGCAGCAGTCATCGGAAGACAAGGACCAGTAAGTGCCAACACCGTAAGACGTCGTCTAAGAGAAGTAGGACTCCGTGCACGACGACCTTATGTTGGAGCTATCCTCAGGGATCATCACCGTCAGCGGCGTTTGATATGGGCTCAAGGACACCAGACATGGAGAAGAGTAGACTGGCAAAGTGTGCTCTTCAGTGATGAGAGTCGCTTTCATCTTTATCACGCTGATGGCCGTCAACGTGTGTGGAGACGTCTTGGGGAACGTCTTGCAGACTGCTGCGTCTTCGAAACGAATCGATGGGGTGGGGGAAGTGTAATGGGGTGGGGGAAGTGTAATGGGGTGGGGAGGCTTCACATTTCATCACGGGCCGGTCTACACATTTGCAGGGGTCGCGTTAATGCTGTAACCTACCGTGATGATGTCTTGCAACCAATTGTTGTTCCGATGTTTCGAGCGCACCAACAACTTCAGCACTTCCACAGGATAATGCCCGTCCGCATACCGCCCGTTTTAGTATTGACTACCTGGCTGCTAACAACATCAATGTCTTGGACTGGCCAGCCATGTCTCCGGACATGGCACCGATAGAACATGTCTGGGATGAGATTGGACGCCGTCTGTATCGGAGACCACAGATGCACACCATTGCTGCTTTAGAAGCTGCTCTTGTCCAAGAATGGAACAATTTGCCCCAGGCCTTCTTTCAAACATTGGTTAATTCCATGCGACGTCGCTGCACAGCGTGCGTAAGAGCCCGTGAAAACACACGCGCTACTGACATCTGTGTCGTACTTTTGGTTTTGACCCCTCTGACTTTGTACCGTTGATTACAGATTAAACATCCATAAGTGTACAAATGTGTTGTTATTGATGTGTTCCCATTTGAATATTGTTCACAATAAGAAGCAAAATAAATAAGATATGTTTACAGGATCATTTTGTTATACGAAAAACTAAGCGATGCGTTTTCCATGGCGCTCAGTATATAACAATATACATTTCTTTGAAAATCTTGGTATCAGAAATAGACTTCATTTACGAAACAATAAAATAAATTTTAATTTAATTTTATGTATTTTACAGCTACAGATGAAGTCAAAGTCTTAAAGAATAAGATAGACACAAATGCTACTATTGTTTTGTTGACCAGAGAATGTTTAATGAATAGTGCTCCTCATCAAACTCCTAGTGATAAAGATATCCCTGTATTAAAAAATCTGATTGTTAAATTTAATACAAATCATCTAACATCTATTTAATAGCTGAAAATATATAATTTTTATACGCCCACATTTTTATGTGTACGTATATTGTCGTCGTCCGTTCACACTTTGTTTGTGGACACTCTATAGGTCACAATTTTTATCCGATTTTGACAAGATCTGAAATATAGGTTTATATCACAAAGATTCTGTGCGATATTGGCATGTATCGGACCGTAACTTCATGGATTATGGCCCCTGGTCGAACGAAATATCATGTTTTAGCTTGTGGACAACATAGAGGTAACAATTTTTATCTGATTTCATGAAACGTGAGATATATGTTTACATACCAAAGATCTTGGTTCCTTACATATTGGCCCATGGGACCGTAAATTCCAGGATTACGGTCCCTGATTGCACGAAAAAACACGTTTTTAGCTTGTGGATCATTTTTATCCGATTTTGACGAACTTGAAATATTGGTTTATATCTCAAAGTTTATATCCTTTCGAAATTGGCATATATTGGACCATATAACTTCATGGATTATGGCCCCTTGTTGTACGAAGAATCGTGTCATTAGCTTGTGGACACTTTGAGGTCACAAAAGTCATCCGATTTTGATGAAACTTAAAATGTATACATGTATTTATAACCCAAAGATCTTGTTTCCTTTTGATATCCGATCGTAACTTCCTGAATTATGGCCCAGATTGTACGAAAAATCGCGTTTTTAGCTTGTGGTCCCTCTAGAGGTCACAATTTTTATTCGATTTAAAAAACCCTTTTAGTAGCCTATATCACCGTTACACCCTAATAATGGTGGATTTCGAATTTCGTGAAAATCGGACCGAAATTGTCATACAAAATGGCCGCCCCTTGTATGCAAATATTGTAAAATATGGACCTAAATCCTGGATTATGGCCCCATATTGTATGCTTTTTTTTTGGCTTCTTCTCTGTCCATCTCTCGCAAAATGTGGGGGTATCTTGCATGGCAGTCACTTGTTTTGTTTAATTTAAGTTTCTTTACTGAAAATACGAATAAAATATTTCAAGGTACTGGTATATTTATGATATTTATATGTGTGTCTTGCTTGAACACCATTCATATAAAAACTTAACACCAATAATTGGTCAATAGCCAATCAGCCATGGACTTTAATTTATAGCTGTTGAATATTTTTATTGGGAAAAAAGCATAAATTGAATATGATCAAGAATAAATCTCCCACAAGGATATAAGTTTATCCTTTGAGCCACATATTAAGATATTATCTGACGTAAATGTACAGCATTGGACACTTTCTTTGTGGTATTTTAATACTGCTAAAGGTTTCAATGATTTTAAAGAAAACAATCGTATAGATTTATCCCAACCACAAGTCACAATTAATTTATCATCTCCTCGAATAGTTATATTATTAAACCCTTCATTTACCACTTCCACTGTTTTATCCATTATTAATTTATCATCTGCCACTTTAAATGTCACCAATTTATTACCAACCGATCCACACATCCCCTTTAAATATTTTTCAGAAAAGTCCATACACATGATAGATTCTGGAAATATACTGAGTTGATCCATTAAAGTTTTAGAAAATATGTTCCATAATTGTAATTCACCACTTTCATAGCCAATCAAAAGCAATTGCTTATTGTTAGATGTTCCAGCATATTTTAAACACATACACATTCCCTGCTTGCTTTCCATTGGTTGAAGACTGATAACAACTTGAGATGAATCGACACTAATTATGTCAACTTTAGAAGCTGTATTACTTGGTATTGCTATGTAATTTATACCTTCGTGAGCGAATAATATAGAACTGCAGAATACTAAAGATGAACATTTATACATTTCTGAAAGTAAAATTATGATATTGTTTATAACATTCCGACTTGTTATCAAACACAAACTGCTGCTTTTAAAGCCATTGAATCATTTCCATGGATGCTAAAATTTACTCCAATTGATTATTTTACATTTAAGGATACATTCATTATTCAATAGCTAAATTTGCATACTGAAGGTATTTATGTATGTCTTAAATGTTATATAAATTATTAATTAGACATTTATTAACATGACAAGACCATACTCAACTCTCTAGGTGATTGGATTAGAACGGTTCGGCCATTTAATGATTTAATTTAAAAATGGAGAAGCGAGGCTAATAAACAATCAATGCACACATCTTGTCAAAACTACAAACAGTGATAACTTGGCCCAGATTAAAGTAATTTGAATGAAATTGTCAATTTATAATTTTGCATTATCTATTTTTGAACTATTTTAGCAAGAATAACCTTTTTTTTTTATCTAAGTCTTACATAATGCCCCTTTAATTAAGAAAACAAAACCAAAATATTCATGGTGAGAGAGAAATGAGGATTAACATCCACTCGACACAAACTAGGTCATTTTGGGACCAACACATGATTCAATTTTATTTCAATAATTCACTTGTGTGTAACTGTCTTTAGCAGTGGGAGGAAATCGGAGGACCTGAAGTAAAAACCCACAAGGTTGGACAGGTAACCATTCTCCTTGTCACATATAAGCAGGAAATCGACCCTTGCCAGTTGACTCAATGACAGACCCTATGATCTAAAGCAACCACATTAGACCATTTGCTCCCCCCCATATCTACCATATTCTATCTATGGCTACTAGCCAAAACATATGACTTATATGGTATTGGTATTGCAGATCTGTTTCAAGATTAGACAATCTCCATACATCTGAACACTTTGGTGAAAGATGCACTATATAAATGTATTAAATAATAATAATAATAAACATTTATGTAGATCTCTGAATTTTTGTTTACTATAGACACCTCATATGAATATCAAAAAGATTCAATAAAATACAAATATACCTAAAATATTCCATTTAGAATTTTTATTGTGCCAAATTTTTATAAAACCATCCCTTCCTTGAGTTATTAGCTTATTGCATTCAAAAGATTTGATCCATAAAACAGATGATTTAGTATGAGCGTCAAACATTTCTTTGATTCTCCTTGTCTTCAAATCCCAAATATACACCTCCCCTTCTTGACAACCAGAAAACAATCTACCAGAGCCTGTGTTCTGGTAGTGAAGACATGTAATGGCACTTCTGGAACCTCGTAAAATGAACAATGGATCGGGTGGCTGTCTCGAGTTGGAGGATGTCATGCCTTTGCAATCAGGATTAGGTCTAATTCTGAAAGGAGAAATAGTGATATAACAGTTTAAAGGAGCTAAACCTCTAATTCAATATTTTTATAACATTTGAAGGGGGAAAAAAGAATTAGAATTCAATATTGGTCCATTTCAATCAATATCAATGTTTTTATCTTGTCATGTAAAGTCACAATGAACATTTTATAATAATCAGCACGGGTCGTGTATTCTATGGTTTTGGGTGCCATTTGTAATGAACCAAGAAAAACACATCCTAGAAACAGTGATATAATAATTTGAAAGGAGTTTAACCTCTAACTCAATATTTTCCATAATATTCGAAATTGAAAAAAAGAATTAAAATTCAATATCAATGTTCATGTCTTGCCATGAAAAGACACAATGAACACTTTATATTTAGTACACTAATCGTGTATTCTATGGTTTTGGGTGCCATTTGTAACTAACAAAGAAAAACATATCCTACAAGACATGCAGATGTAATTAGTAACGGCTATTTCAAAACAACAAAAATGCTTTACTAAGCTGGCATAATTAAACGACTGTCATTCAGTTTGGACTGTTCATGTATTTCACCGAACATTATCAATTTTGAATTAGAAAGTACAATAATTTAAAAAAAAATATTAAAATATGTGCTTTTCTATCTATTTACGTCTATTTTAAGGTTACAAAGAATTTGGCCATATATACATGTACGCACTTTAATAATTATTGCCCCTTCCAATTACTTCTTTTACGGTACGTCACTCATCAGAAATCTGTTTCACACTCACCAAAGCCTTCTTTTATTTGCGGCCAATCCAATATTTACTGTTGATAAGTTTGTTCAATTAGATAAGGCTATTAATAACATTATGGACTGGAAGATATAATTAAATAAACGTATAATATCACGTTTTGCTTACATCTCTTCCATTTCAACTTGCCAACTTAAGTTACAGACTTTGTTTTTACTAGTTTCACTTTATATCCTCCCTAAGATTTATTTCCCCTTGGTGAATAGTGTCGATTATCCAGTCTTTCGGTGATTGTATTAGCAAATCCAAATCCAGAAGTGTTGTACGCAAAAAAAAGTAGATCTAGGCCTGCTTGTTGTACTTTATCTAGCTACGAGAAATGAAATGAAATGGGGTTTAACGTCCTACTGTTCTGCTCCGAACTGTGCTAATAAAGACGGGCATAGTATGGAAGCCTATAACTACCATTCATAATTTCTATTTTTCGCCTCTTCAAAACACGAAAGTCGAAAAGTCGAAAAGTAGAAGTTACGACAAAATGTGAGGCGACAACACGCTATACAAGCCAAAATCAACTCGAAAATAGGAAATTAAGAAATAACACACAGCGATAAAAGCGCCCCTCGTTTTTTCTTAATTTCTTATTTTCGACTTGCATTTTGGCTTGCAGTATACCGTCTTGTCGACTTTCGACTTAGTCATATTTTTGTATTTATTGATGTCAGTAAGAAGGCGCCAACACGCTATACAAGCCAAAATGCAACTCGAAAAGTAGAAATTAGGAAAGTAACACACCACGCTAATAGCGACTTTTCGTCTCGGATTTTGGCTTGTATACCGTCTTGACGACTTGCATTTTGGCTTGTAAACCGTCTTGTCGACTTTCGACTTAGTCATATTTTGTATTTGTCGACAAGACGGTATACAAGCCAAAATGCAAGTCGAAAATAAGAAATTAGGAAAAAACGAGGGGCGCTATTATCGCTGTGTGTTATTTCTTAATTTCTTATTTTCGAGTTGATTTTGGCTTGTATAGCGTGTTGTCCCCTGACTTTCGTGTTTTGAAGAGGCGAAAAGTAGAAATTATGAATGGTAGTTATAGGCTTCCATAGCATACGCCATACAGTGTGCTATGAGGGAAATTTTGCCCGGACAGCGGCACTACGGCCTACTCTTATATCGAATTCCAACTGTCAAAGGATCTTTTACGTGCACGCCAATGTGTACACGGGACCTCGTTTTTTCGTACCATCCGAACGACTAGACAACTGTCCTTGTCAGGCCCTCCGTCCTGCATCACTGACCCGCCCTTGTCATTATGTACACTGATCCTGGTGTTGGTCAAGAAAGTTCCCCGGGATTTTGAAAAGTGGTTTCTCCCTGTCGGTAGTGCAGGACAAGAGACCTGGGTCACCTGGCAACGAATGGTGTCTAGTTGTGTGGATGGGACAGACAAACTAGCTCCTGTGTACTCATTGGCATGCATATGAAAGAATCCTTCACAGTTGAATTTCGATGAAGAAATGCCACGGTAGATTGAAAAATTCTGTCTTAGCACTCTGCATAGCGTATGCCTATCTTCAATAGCCCGATTGGCGCAGAAAAGTAGGAAAATTGAATGAAATGAAAACAGGTTTAACGTCCTACAGTTATGCTCTGACTGGGCTTATGAAGACGGGCGTACGCTTTAGTGTACTGGGAGGGACACTTTACCCGGATAGCGGCGCTACGGCCTACTGTTATATTGAATTGTCAGGTGGTCTTTTACGTGGACACTAATCTCGATTGTTCGTCCTATCCAATACGTTATCCCTTGCCAGACCCAACGATGAGCTTTATAGGCCAACACATGGATCGAGCACGCGACCTCAATGTTGCGAAGCGACGTCTTACTCACTGAGTGATTCCGCTTTGACATTGATGCAGGGCGGAAGTCCTGGCAAGGGATAACTTATGTTCGGATAGGACGAAAAACATATTGGCGTCGGAGCAGAACGAAATGAAATGAAATGGAGTTTAACGTCCTACAGTTTTGCTCCGACTGGGCTATTGAAGACGGTCTTACGCCATACAGTGTACTATGGGGGACATTTTGCCCGGACAGCGGCGCCACGACCTACCCTTATATCGAATTCCAACTGCCAAGGGATCTTTTACGTGCACGCCAATATATACACGGGACCTCGGTTTTTCGTCGGAAAATCTCGATGAAGTTTCTAGACCAACACCGGGAGCGAACCAGCGACCTCCATGATAGCGAGCCAACGTCTTGTTCACTTAGCCACCGTTGCCCCCTGAGCAGAACAGTATAGGACGTTAAACCCCATTTCATTTCATTTTCCTACTTTTCTGCACCAATCGGACTATTGAACATAGGAATACACCATGCAAAGTGATATGACGGATATTTTCAAGGACTGTGTGATTTCTTCATCGAATTTCAACTGTAAAGGATTCTTTTATATGCACGCCCATATGTACACAGGAGCTTGTTTTGTTTTTTTGTCCCATCTACATAACTAGACACTGTTCTTTGCCAGGCCCTTTGTCCTGCAGGAGAAACCACGCTGCAAAATCCCGGGGAACTTTCTTGACCAACACCAGGATCAGTGTACATAATCCTAGTATTGAGAGAAAACAGCCGCTGTTTTAATCCGACAATACGACATTTTTAATGTCGTAGTGTCGGGTGAAAATGTATTGTCGGGTAAAAATCTCGCATTGTCGGGTTAAAATGTCCTGATGTCGGGTTGTAATGCTGTCCGGTTAAAATGTCGTGATGTCGCCTTATGATACCAATCAGCCACCATAAAATAGAAAGCTGTATGTGGTATTATTAGTATATCTGTGAGTATATAAGACAGAAATTGTGCCATTTATCACTCATACAAAATTCAAATACCTCGCGGAGCCACGGTGGCTAAGTGTGTAAGACGCTGGATCGCTAGCCTGGAGATCGCGGGTTCGCTCGCGTTGTTGACCGAGAAAGTTCATCGGAATTTTCAGACGTGGTTTCCCATTGGCGTGCGCGTAAAAGATCCCTTGGCAGTTGGAATTCAAGAGTGGCCGTAGCGCCGCTGTCCGGGCAAACGTTCCCTCATATCACCCTGCATGGCGGATGCCCGTCTTCATTAGCCCAGTCGGAGTAGGACCATAGAATGTTAAACCGTATTTCATTTCTAATACCTCGCATTGTACACGTTACCATAAAGTAAATAAATATAGCGATGTTTTCATCTTAAAATGTTCATTTACTTGATAAATTACTAACTTGTCTATTCTGTAATCGGTTAAATACCATTGAGTGATTCAGGTTGATTTTCTTTGTTTTGACAGCGCTGACAGTGACGTCCGTGTGATTCTTCAGTTATGAAATAAAGATCTTATCTGTCGTATCGAAGCAATATTCAACCTGGGTTTCAGTGAATATACTACTAAAGACAAGGCCGCCATTATGAATACTACAAACCAGATTGTGGTATATCTCTCGATTGCTGCATGAAGTGAATGGGATTTGTGGTTGGTTCGCCATATCCCCCCATTTCGATAAGCCAACATAGAAAGTTAATGAAATTTGGCATGTTCATGCCTTATGCATCTGTCCATTTGGCGTAATAAAGATCTGTGAGCCACCAAAGATAGTTTAGAAGTTATTGCGTGCACAGTGAGCCTACTCCAAATTTTTAGTATGTTTACGGTAATGCAACATAAGTGTCTTCTGGGATATAGCAGTCGAGTACAATAGTTTATTCATCCCATGATTCTGTATGGAAGCCTATAACTACCGTTCATAATTTCTACTTTTTGCCTCTTCAAAACACGAAAGTCGAAAAGTTACGACAAAATGTGAGGCGACGACACGCTATACAAGCCAAAATCAACTCGAAAATAGGAAATTAAGAAATAACACACAGCGATAATAGCGCCCCTCGTTTTTTCTTAATTTCTTATTTTCGACTTGCATTTTGGCTTGTATACCGTCTTGTCGACTTTCGACTTAGTCATATTTTTGTATTTATTGATGTCAGTAAGGAGGCGCCAACACGCATACCAAGCCAAAATGCAACTCGAAAAGTAGAAATTGGGAAATTAACACACCACGCTATTAGCGACTTTTCGACTTTTCGCCTCGGAAGTTGTTGTAGTCTCAGTTTTCCAGGTCGCATTTGAATACGTGCAATCAGGGCTCACACTGTATTTCATTCTTTTCCGTCAATATGGATAATAATTTTTATATAAAATATATGTTCATATTTTTTTTCCGCCAACTGGGATATTTTATCTGCCAATAATGTCTGATATAAAAAAACACACCTTAGGATACAACAATTTAATTTATTATATAGGCCTATTATAAAACAAATTCCCGTACCGATATATACAATATACAACATACATGGGGATTGGGTGGTCTAGTGGTTTAACACGTGCGCGTGAAATCACAAGGTCTGACATTGATTCAAGTGGTGTGGTTTCGATTCCCCGCTTAAACATGACAAGGGAGTAGGGTTGCTTGTCCAACCTTGTGGGTTTTCTCCGGATACCCCAGTTTCTATCCACTGCTAAAGACCACTACGTGCAAACGAATTATTGAAATGATTTAGTTTGCAACGAGTTGATGTTAAGCCAGCCTGGAGGTTGGGTGTTCGATCCCTGGCCGAGAAAGTTTATCCAGATTTTCCGGAGGATTCCCCCTTGTCAGTGATGCAGGACGTGGAGGTCGGGTGTTCGATATCTGTATTGGCCGAGAAAGTTCATCCAGATTTTTCGGCGGATTCCCCCTTGTCCGTGATGCAGGACGGGGGGGGGGGCTGACAAGGAAAACTGTCTAGTTGTTCGGATGGGACCAAAATAACCGAGGTTCCGTGTACACATTGGCGTGCACGTAAAATATCCCTTGACAGGTGGGATTCGATATAAGAGTAGGCCGTATTGACGCTCTCCGGGCAAAATTTCTTTTATAGCACACTGTATGGCGTATGTCCGTCTTCATTAGCCCAGTTCGGAACAGAACAGTAGGACGTTAAACCCCAATTTCATTTAATTTCTCTTTCTCTCTCTCTCATCGCCAATTTTTAAAATAAAATTTCACCATGTTAGTCACTGAATAACTCTTAGTTTGTGTCGAGTGGACGTTACCCCCCCCCCCCCCACAGAACAATATATATTCAGCCTCTACACGCCAGTCTCATCCAAGGATTTCCCTTTTTAACGTTTTTCATGTACAATAGGCCTATTTTTAATTGCAGGTACCGTAATGACCCAGAATCTGAATATCCTCATAGAAATTTCAATTTTATTTGTAAGACATGCTTACAATCATTAGAGAATTTTGGCGGCGGTACTGAAACGTCACTATTCGACTCGTTCTTAGATTTCCTACCCATGGTGATAATATAATTTGAAATAAAATAATAATATATTCTAATGTGACCTTGAAAGTAGAGACTACATCAACTTCCGAGGCGAAAAGTCGACAGCACGACAGCAAGCCAAAATCATAGGTCGCTAATATCGCCTTTAATACTAGACTTTATCATACAGACTATTTTGTTAACGCAAATTGCATGTATTTAAATGCGACCTGGCAAATTGTGATTACAACCACTTCCGAGGCGAAATTCGAAAAGTCGCCAGTACGACAGCAAGCCAAAATGATAGGTCGCTAATAGCGCGTGTGTTCATTTCCTAATTTCTACTTTTCGAGTTGCATTTTGGCTTCGTATGCGACCGTTGTCCTTGTCAGCCCCCCCCCCCCGTCCTGCATCAATGACAAGGAGAAATCCGCCGGAAAATCTTAATGAACTTTCTCGGCCAATGCAGGGATAGAACACCCGACCTCCACGTCCTGTATCACTGACAAGGGGGAATCCGCCGGAAAATCTGGATGAACTTTCTCGACCAATGCAGGGATCGAACACCCGACCTCCAGGCTGGCTTAACATCCACTCGTTGCAAACTAAATCATTTCAATAATTCGTTTGCACGTAGTGGTCTTTAGCAGTGGATAGAAACTGGGGTATCCGGAGAAAACCCACAAGGTTGGACAAGCAGTCCTACTACCTTGTCATGTTTAAGTGGGGAATCGAAACCACACCACTTGAATCAATGTCAGACCTTGTGATTTCACGCGCACGTGTTAAACCACTAGATCACCCAATCCCCATGTATGTTGTTGTATATTGTATATATCGATACGGGAAATTTGTTTTATAATAGGCCTATATAATAAATTAAATTGTTGTAGCCTAAGGTGTGTTTTTTTTTATCAGACATTTTTGGCAGATAAAATATCCCAGTTGGCGAAAAAAAAATTATGAACATTTTTTTTATATAAAAATTATTATCCATTTTGACGGAAAAGAATGAAATACAGTGTGAGCCCTGATTGCACGTATTAAAATGCGACCTGGAAAACTAAGACAACAACAACATCCGAGGCGAAAAGTCGAAAAGTCGCTAATAGCGTGGTGTGTTAATTTCCTAATTTCTACTTTTCGAGTTGCATTTTGGCTTGGTATGCGTGTTGGCTTCTAATTGACATCAATAAATACAAAAATATGACTAAGTTGAAAGTCGACAAGACGGTATACAAGCCAAAATACAAGTCGAAATGCAAGGAAAAAACGAGGGGCGCTATTTTCGCTGGGTGCTATTTCTTAATTTTCTATTTTCGAATTGATTTTGGCTTTTATAGTGTGTTGTCGCCTCACATTTTGTCGTAACTTCTACTTTTCGACTTTCGTGTTTTGAAGAGGCGAAAAGTAGAAATTATGAATGGTAGTTATAGGCTTCCATAATTCTGTGAACTAAAAACACATTTTGCCAGCGTGGGCGTACCCTTTCTTTATTGAACCCAGGAACCAGGAATCGAATCCGGGTGCTAGGAATTTTGCGATGAACTAAAATAGAAAGTTAATGAAATTTGGCATGTTCACACCTGTCGATTTGGTGAAATAAAGCTAGTTTAGAATTTATTGCGTGGATGGCGAGGCTACCCCCCCCCACACACACACACCCACACATTTTTAGTACGTTTACGGTAATATATCTCGAAAATTTTATCATAGGAGGCTTCTGGAATTTTGCAGTTAAGTATTTTATTCATCCCTTGATTCTGTGAAATAAAAAACAGTTTGCCACAAAAGCTGGTTTGGGTGCTTTTTGATGCAATGTGGGCCCGTAATTGTCGGCCAATTTTACAGCACCCCTGAGCACCCCCCCCCCCCCCCTCGTTGCTCGAAGCTAGTTACGGACCTGCGATGATATAATTTGATACGCCAACATAGAACGTAAATGAAATTGGGCATGTTCATACTTTATGCATCTGCCGATTTAGTGAAATAAATATCTTCGAGCCACCAGAGCTAGAAGTTATTGTGTGCGCAGTGAGCGTAACCTGACCCTATCCTCCCATATTTTTAGTGTATTTACGGTAATATATCTTGAAAAGTCAATATAAAAGGCTTCTGGAATTTTGCCGTCTAATAGTTTATTCATTCATCCCTTGATTCTGTGCAAAAAAAATCATTTTACCACCAAAGCTTGTTTGAATAATTTTTGATGCAAATTGAACGTATCCTTTTCTGCGTGCTATTTTAGTATGTTTACGGTAATATTTTAGTATGTTTACGGTAATATTTTTTGTTCGTATTTTTTCGTATAATTGTTACCTTTATAATAAAAGTAACAATTATTTTCGTGATAATTATAGAAAGGTTTTTGAAGGCGCTATAGGAATGGTTGCTAACTTGATTTCGAATCCGGGCGCTGGAATACGTGAGAGATTCCGCTCGGTACAATACAAATTCCTATTCAAAATAATGGAGTACCTCGACTATAGTCGCCTGAATCATCAACCGAGTTTTGTTGTAAAAGTAATAATTTTGAAATCCACTCGCTGGACCCGCCCCTGTTAAAGCAATTTTCTAAAAAGACCTGCCATCATTTTCAGCAGAAACTGCGTGTACAACAATTAATCTAATAAATTGTAATCCAATTTCATTTGAAGTATTGAAATTTTGTTGTAAAGGTCGCATGCCAACTGTTATGTTTGAAATGGCGTTTATAATGATTTTGTAATTATCAAATACAGTATAATAGTCTACCCTGCAAACCTGACTTTTACATTAAACAAATAACTACCTAAAGTCAACATGCTGCTGCTCGTTGTATCTATTTTTATGCTAGGGTCATATGACGTTCTTGGACAATGTAAAGATCGAGACTTCGATGCCCTGTTTTTTAGGTATGAAGGGCAGACGTGGACACAGGGTTGCGATAGATGTGTCTGTCAGAACACAAACATAACCTGCAGTGGTGGGCCTATTTGTACCATGCCTTATAGTGAAGATTTAAAGAGGACATGTCTTCGGGTAAGATTATCTTTTAAATTTAAAATGAAAAAATACATAAAAGATAATTTTAAGAACAAATCGAAAGCATACAAAATTATGTGTGTAGAGCAGGAGCCCAGGGGGTTAACCTAGCTGAAAAGTGTACCAATTTTCTCCTATATGGTATCAATGTATGTATATCTGGTATCATCAGAATGTAAGTCTGGCAATTACATAGCACTGTCAGGGGTACCCCACCACTAGAAATGTCTGTCAGAGTGTTTTTGTAATACCTGAAGATATACCGGTACATTGCAGTAAGATTTTCGTGTGGTACACTTTTGAGCTAATCTAGCCTAGTTGGGGATCATTGCATTTAGGGCGTGGAATACCACACCCACCACCATAAACCAGATATACATACATTGATACCATATAGGAGAAAATTGGTACACTTTTCAGCTAGGTTGACCCCCTGGGCTTCCGGTCTAGTGTGTCTTCGTTGTATGTCTAATAGGTAAACAGAATATATTGACTAATTACGTCGCTAAAAGAATTTTTAAATTAAATGAAAGCCAGTAAGTCTAATACCAGGCCCGTCATTTTCAGGTGCAAATCCTATTTTCCAAAATTTTCTGGGTCGGAGAGCACCTTAGACATTGTCAACGGTACCGTTCGCCGTGAACCGTCAAGTGTAGGTACATTGGCGCCCCCAGAAGCCCCATCGACGCCCCTAGAAGCCTTTGTCCCCCCCCCTCCAACAATTTTGGGCTACACGGGCCTTAATACAAAATACATTATTTGCCTTTGACCGCCCCACCCCCTTGTTCAAATAATAAAACAGGAAATTTAATCACGTACACTTTATTTAATACCAATATCGGAGTTAGTCCACATATTATTTACTGACATATAGTTTGGTACAAAATGCAACAGCAGGCGTCATATTATCATATAAGTTAAGTACAACTGTTATTAATTCTACTATATGAATTATAATGGGCACAGATGTTGATATTTATGTATTTCTATGTCAACCGATGAATGCATTAAATAACCCCATTTATACGTAGACGTATGTGCTTTGGAAGTGGTTAAACTATTTATCAATCATTCTTATAGACCCCCTTCTCCTCCATCCAATCCTCAACAAATAGTCCGCAATGTGGTTTTTTTCAGTGGACTGATGACAAATGTTGTTGCTTAAAAGTAGGATGTCGGTCTGAGATAGACCATAAAGAATATAATTTTGGGGATTTCATGCCAATGGACCAGAATGGTTGTAAATCATGTCGCTGCGAAGCCCATAGCCGAGGTCTCTGTAAATATGACATGGCCAAAGCTGGCTGTAGTGCAGTTGTTAAGCGTAAGTTTCTAAGATTTACATGTATTAAAGCGTAAATTCGCTAATGTTATCCCTAATTGCCGTTAATATACTTTGTTGATCTGTATTTTTCAAATTTCCTGGTCTCAAATAGTTCCAGACAGCCCGTACTTTTCATTTTACATCATTGGTATTGCCCCACTACGGCTCTATCTTTTTACAAGAAAATGGATCATTTTTTGACAGCAATAGGACAAATGTCTCAGTAATTACGGTACTAAAAAATGCCCCGGTGGATTAGACTGGCAGAATTGACGAAACCGTCAATTAGTTAATATACACTCGCCCTGTGCGTTCAGGAACCGGCCTATTGATTCCTCGCTACACTCCCCCTGTCCGTTCAGGAACCGGCCTATTGATTCCTTGTCGAAAAAAATTTCAGTTCCCAGTAAATTTTACTGGGCAACTTTTTACAGCTAAACGGTCACGTGTCAGTCTCCGTGAACTCATGTACAATGTAAAGGAACATTTTAATGAAAAAATAAGACCTTGCTTGTGTGTGACACAATATGCCGTTAAAATACGTCCCCTTCTTTTAAACAGGTTTGCAGACGCCATTGAAATCTAAATTCAGGGCGGGTTTAATGAGACCTACGTTCTCCAAGGACCACTTCGGGCGATCTTCTCTTTTACACTGCTTGCGTGTATCTTCCCCACCAACAATTAATTTAATAAATCATTTGAATTATTATCAATTGCCGTGTATAGATACCTTGTTGATCTATATTTGTCCGAACTAAATCATCTGTGAACTGTTCGTCCAACGACCACTGTGACTTTAGGCCAACTATGAATGTGGATAATTATGGGAGATTAGATAAAGAGCTGGCAGTTCTCACTATAATAGTTAAAAACTAGATAATGTAAAGGGTATTTGCTGAAAATTTCAGTCAAATTGATCCACTCTGAATCGAGAATTTGGCGATTGAATTTTTGGCCTCTCGATCATCATTACTAAAGTCTGTATGATAAAAAACATTGTCTCGATTATCCATTTCATGATTTAATCATGAATGAAAGTTGAGCAGCAAATCGGATCCTTGTCCAGTAATTATCGCAGACTAGCGATGACATCGAGAGTTGATTTTGTCTGGATAAGTTAATTAATGTCTAATTAATAATTTAGATAACATTTCAGGCCTACATAAAGACCTGCAATAGGCAGATTTAGCTCCTGCATAATGTATATTTAATGTGCATATCTATTCTTTTTTCAGCTAAGCAGAAAATGTCGTTGGAGTAACTAGATACAAGTAAGTGATAGATGGTGGTCTGATGTGCCGAAACTTTAATAAAGTTCTGTTTAAAATATAACACATAGAGTTATGACTTACACCAATATTGTCGTAAGACCAATGAATAGAAAGCTGTATGTGGTATATAATCTATCACTCATACAAAATCCAAATAACTCTCGGAGCCACGATGGCTAAGTGAGTAAGACGCTGGGTCGCTAGCCTAGAGGTCGCGGATTCGCTCCAGGTTTTGGTCGAGAAAGTTCATCGGGATTCTCCGGCGTGGTTTCCCCTTGTCAGCGAGGCCGTGCGGATGAGACGAAAACCGAGGATCCGTGTACACATTAATTGGCATGCGCGTAAACGATCCCTGGCAGTTGGAATTTGATATGAGAATGGCCTTAGCGCCGCTGTCCGGACACAAATATCTCTTATAGCACACTGTATGGCGCATGCCCGTCTTCATTAGCCCAGTTGGAGCAGAATAGTAGGACGTTACATGCCATATAGGACGTTAAACCCCATTTCCTTTCATTTCAAATACCTCAAATACCTCGCATTGTACACGTGACCATAAAATAAATAAATATAGCGATGTTTTCATCTTAAAATGGTCGAACGAGTCGGTGTGATTCTTCACTTTTGAAATAAAGATCTTATCTATCATATCGAAGCAATATTCAACCCGGGGTTCAATGAATATACTACTAAAGACAGGGGTACGATGGCCAAATGGTTAGCACGTGCACGCTGTATCATGGGGTCAGTCATTTAGTCAGCTGGCGTGGTTTCGATTCCCCAGTTGTACGTGACAAGGAGTAGGGTCGCCTGTCCAAACTCGTAGGTTTTCTCCGGGTCCTCCCACTACTAAAGACCCCTACGCGCAAGCGAATTATTGAAATGAAATTGAAACCATGTGTTAGTGCCGAAATGAAATAGTTTGTATCGAGTGGACGTTAAACCCCATTCTAAAATAATAATAATAAAAAAAAATACTATATACATGATGAATGAGGTGTTTTAATTATGGAAACAGTAATGACAGACAATATTGGGGGTAACACCCCCCTGACAGACATGTCCTAAAGGGGGGTCTCCATGGGTCTAGATCCAATATTGGAGATACCAACTAAAAACTAAAAATTTGTCAGATTAAGGACCATTTAATGGTAAATCATCTACTATGAACGACAGACATTTTAAACAGTGCTTTGCCTCCTGACAGACGCCCTCTAGTGAGGAATATTTATGTTGGTGCCAAACTCATTGTTTGAGATACCACACCAAATTGATTTCTATATTACCTTAGTGTACTTTGAATAAGTTACAGTATTTGATAGACATTTTAAGCATTACTAAGCCATTTAGGCTGATTTTAAAAGCCCCATTATTGAAAGACGTTGTTTCACGACGTGGTGACGTCATGACGTTGTAGTCGCAGGCATTCACAGAAACACAAACAACCCCAGGCAAGCAAGGGACATTTGTCAGTATACTTTTTTTCTAGTGGGTACCTAAAAGCAATCTGTTGATATATTTCCTAGAACTTGTATAATGACTCAATAGACCCCATCTTGAACTTCATTGCTTGGCTTGCCAATATATTACGGATTATTAGGCTGGTAGGAGAACTTCGGGTTTAGGTGAGCCGGGGAAAAAACCCGAAAAAAATGATTCTTGCTTTTTATGAAAGGTCTATATGAGTACAACTTAAGGAAAAAAATCCACCAAAATCGGCCTTGGGCAAAAAAAGTTACAGACGTTCTGGTTTTCGTGCCCATTCGACTTATAAAATCCACAATGTTCGGCATGCTGATAATATTTTTGTGCATCACAAACGCTTTTCTGTTATTAGACAATCGATAAAATCGGTGAATTGATTCCATTGTTGGGAAATACTAATTGTAAAGGCGCCAATAACTGATCCTGCCTCATCCCAAAAGCTAAGCTAGTTCAGCGCATTTACCATCGTCACGTACATCAAAGGTGCCAAGTCTACAGATGATACTGACATGATCAGCTCTCGCCCATCTGATAATATTACATCCTTAAATGTTGAAGCGATATCAACATCCACAATAGGTCTGCATGTACCCCAAAAGTCCGCGGTAGAGAAAAATTCGAAAAACATAAAATCTTAAGTGCATTTGAAAAAGGTAGATCTTGGCAACTGCAGACTGTGAAAAGGGGTTTAGTTGATAAAATATTATATTAAAAAAAAACAAATACAGAAAGTCAAATGAAAAATTGGCGGATAAAATAGAAGCCAGAGTGAGTACTCGTGCCAACTGTCAGATATTGTCAGTGGTGGGGTTCGTCAGGCGTCCATAACCGCTCATTTACTAACCACATGAAACATGTTGAAAAATGTTCAGCAAATTCACATGTATTAACAAAGACCACCGCCAGACATTTTCAGTGGTTGGACAATATACCCACTACTAACTAAACACTACCTCGTTATTGTGGGAAAATAACATAATACTTCAATTATGTTGGACAGTATTGGCCACGCTTCTGCCGTCCCATTCAGACGTTTCTATTTCCCCACACAAAAAGCTATAACCCAGGTAAGCATATTTACTTATCGCACGAAACTTGATGCAAAATGCTTAGCCAGATTGTTTCAATAGTGGGATATCCCAACCAGAAATCTAATTGCTCCACCCTAAAAGCTATTCTACATTACCACATGACTATGGTATCTAAAAACCATCAACATATTCCAACAAATCATAAATGGCCACTCCCAGGCATTTTCAGTGATGAAGTATCCTGCCACGTGGAACGTACAAACTGTAAATCGGACCGTTCCCAACAATAATTCACTCACCGCGTTCACTGTAACTATTCTAGTCATGAACCCTTGACGCACGAATCCAATTCTGATCCAGACGAGGGCGTGTATACTAGTCATTTTAGCTGCTCACTTACTATTGAATCACCTTATACACAACATTTCCGACATGACACAATTGTAAAAATTACAGGTTACTAAGATGTTTATTTTTGGCGAAGTTTCGATGCAGATTCTCTCGTCGCTATTAGGGTATGAAAAACACTTCAAATTATATGAAGTTCAGCGTAACCAGCTCGCCCGCACATAACTCCTAGTGCATATAACATCCTTCAAAACAGATTGAAGCAAATGCCAAACTATACATCCTTGTGAAATGCAACCATACCAATAATATCAACCAACTAAAACTCAACCCAAGCACCTTCTAAAACATCTCAGAATGAATATATTACCAAAACTGTTATCAATGTTAGCCTCCTCACACGTGACAACCCAACAACCACACCTAAAGCCCCCAAAGAACTTCAGAAAGACAGGGTAATCACAATAGTACCTGCGGACAAAGAGACGGTAGTTGTAATAATGGATACACCTGACTGCGTCAGCATTGTCAACACTCTTCAAGAAGAATCAAACTACACACGGGTAACGAAAGACCCCATTTCTGCTCATCAAACCAAAGACGTCAGACACGTCTTCCACCATCAAAATCCACCCAAAACCAGGTTACACGTGTGTTCCTCTGACTGTCGTCTACAAAACAGCCCAAAACCTTTCGGAATATTTATTCTCACTTGATTCCAAAGACTTTTGTAATAACGTGAACGTAGTAGGTTCGTCTCCTACGATGTTGTCGACATGGTCACGCCCCCCTCTCCTTACTAGACCACTGAAACACACGGCATAATGAAATTAGGTTCACCGTGGTCACAGAACAAGACAACAGTCTTCCCTTTCTATATATCATTATGAGAAGAACAACTAATCGCTCCAAACTTATTTATAGGAAACTAGCCCACTACAACCAGTATCTCCATTACAAACCAACGACTCGTATCAGACCAAGAAAGCTCACATCACAACACTCACAAGCGGTCCCTCACTATTTGTGACCATAATATTATGTACTCCTTATAAACCTGTAACGGTAAATCTCTTTGATCTTTGGGGTATATTCTATGCCCGGAATAACTTGAGGTCTGAAAGTCGTTGGCGGCTGTGGATATTTGGGGTTATTCTTCTGAAAGTTTTTCTTTGAACCTGTAACAGGTTATTCTTCCAGGGTAGGTTTTTTTCCATAAGAAAACATGATCTAATGGTTTTTCTTATGGGAATTCTGGGATATTCTCATTTTGCGTGCATGTAAACATAGACTGTTTATAAGCAAGGTAAAGTCCTCGACTTCGGTTATGCTGGGGAAGAAAGACTTCAGAAAAAACCCTCGACAGAAAAACCTCGACCTGCCGGCCTCGGTTTTTCTTTTTTCGGGTCATTTTCTTCAGCCTTTCTTTCCCCAGCATAACCTCCGTCTCGTGCTTTATCCTACACATAATGCAATCTCAAACAATTGTTTTCAAATTTTAACCAAAATCCTGCTACTCAGCACCACAAAGTCAACAAAAAATGAGCCAACAGCCATCCGCGTCAGCATACAATCCAATGACCGTTCATCCTACCAAATCGGACGAGTATGGTGGATATAAATAGTTGCGCTAATAATATTTAAAAAAAATAAATCACACTGTTGAATGTGTTTATGGTTACTTGCAGTTTGATAACACGTCATTTAGAGTGGGTAAAGTTGGGGATAACCTAAATAAGGCGGTTTCACAAGGATCATTCATTTTGTGGTCGGATACCAAAACTAAATCGTCCATAAAAAAAATGCCCAAGGTAGATTGCGGTGGATTTTTTTCTGTGGGTACTAGATACATACCTCCTTACAAGAAAGCAAAAATCATTTGTTTCGAATTTTTTTCCCCAGGTCGGAGTGTCTCCTACCAGCCTATATGTAATTGTTAGCCATGAAAAATAACTCATTTTTATCACATGATTATTTATTTTCCATATATAGGCCATAACGGCATTTTACAGCGAAATTTGATTTTTGATTTATACAAATGAAACTATGCAATGGGAGACACGCAGCACAACATTCAAAATTTTTTGTCTGTCTCAGATGTCGTGTCGATCACTAAAAAGGAGGGGGGGGGCGTCTGTCAGGGGGTTAGCGCCATTTAAAATGTCTGTCAACTACTGTAACTTATTCAAAGTACACTAAGGTAATATAGAAATCAAATTTGGTGTGGTATCTCAAACATTGAGTCTGACACCAACATAACTATTCCTCACTAGAGGGCGTCTGTCAGGGGGCAAGCACCATTTAAAATGTCTGCCGTTCATAGTAGATGATTTACTATCAAATGGCCCTTAATCTGACAAATTTTTAGTTGGTATAATCTCCAATATTGGATCTAGAAAGACCCCCCTTTAGGGTATGTCTGTCAGGAGGGTGTTACCCCCAATATTGTCTGTCATTCAGGCCCGTAGCCAGAGGGGGGCAATCCCCCCCCCCCCCCCGAAAAAATGTTTTGCCCCCCCCCGAAAAAAAATTGCCGACCATAGCTCTAAAATACCTACTGTAGACTGTGCCAGGTGTGCCCCCCCCCCCTAAAAACTTCACTGCCCCTCTGAAGCTAGCAAGCTGGCTACGGGCCTGCTGTCATTACTGTTTCCATAATTAAAACACCTGATTTATCATGTATAAATTGGTTTCACTCAGTACCTCTAATGTTGGATCCATACATGTTTTTAGGGGTCAGTTTAGGGAGGCTACTGAGGTCAGGCCCCTGATATATAAGCTGACAGGCGTCCACTTTTATTGTACAGGGAAAAACCCCTAAATAACGCTTTAGATGAACTTTGGTATCTCCTTCGTTGGAGTTCGAAGGTTTGGGCTGCCGGTCTAAAAATATCGGTTTCCCGCAGTAGTCTTTAGAGGTGAGATGTGACCAGCTAGGGCAGGCCTATGGCCAAACGAGCATAACAGGCCACCAAGACTCAGTTTGTTTCACGTACAATTATGTGAACAAACCCACGACTTAAAGCTTGCATAGATAAAATTAACATATATACAGCACTGATCACGTTGGAAGTTCACTCGCACAGACATTCTGAACATCTGAGACACGCTACCTGCGAAGCCAAGGGCCACACAGTTCTGTCAAGTCGCTAACTGACTTTATAAACCTAACAACGGTAAATCTCTTTCATCTTTGGGGTAGGCCTATAGGCCTATTCTATGCTCGGAATAACTTGCGGTCTGAAAGTCGGGGCGGTTGAATATAATATACAAGAAATGAAATGAAATGGGGTTTAACGTCCTGCTTTTCTGCTCCTATACTAGGCTAATGAAGACGGGCATACGTCATACAGTGTGCTATGAGGGAAATTTTGCCCGGGCAGCGGCACTATCGCCTACTCTTATATCGAATTCCAACTGCCAAGGGATCTTTTACGTGCATTCCAATGTATACACGGGACCTCGGTTTTTCGTCTCTTCCGAATGAGTAGACAGCTGTCCTTGTCAGCCCCCCCCCCCCGTCCTGCATCACTGACAAGGGGGAACCACGCCGGAAAATCTGGATGAACTTTCCCGGCCAATGCAGGGATCGAACACCCGACCTCCAGGCTAGCGAGCCAGCGTCTTACCCAATTAGCCACGTGATCCCCATAATATACAAGAGAATTTGGGGTTATTCTTCTGAAAGTTTTTCTTTAAACCTGTAACGGGTTATTCTTCTAGGGTAGGTTTTTATTTTCCATGAGAAAATATGACATTTAAAGTACAGGGATATTCTTATTTCACGTACATACTACATGTAAATATAGACGGTTTATAAGCAAGATAAAGTCCTCGATCGACTTCGGTTATGCTGGGGAAGAAAGACTTAAGGAAATACCTTCGAAAGAAAAACCTCAGCCTCAGTTTTTCTTTTTCTCGGGATATTTTCTTCAGTCTTTCTTTCCCCAGCACAAATTAACTCAGTCTCGTGCTGGGATCACGTGGCTAAGTGGGTAAGACGCTGGCTCGCTAGCCTGGAGGTCGGGTGTTCGATCCCTGCATTGGCCGAGAAATTTCATCCAGATTTTCCGGCCTGGTTCTCCCTTGTCAGTGATGCAGGACGGAGGGGCTGACAAGGAAAGCTGTCTAGCCGTTCGGATGGGACAAAAAACCGAGGTCCCGCGTACACATTGGCGTGCACTAAAAGATCCCTTGGCAGTTGGAATTCGATATAAGTTTAAGAGTAGGCCGTAGTGCCGCTGTCCGGGCAAAATTCCCCTCATAGCACACCGTATGCCCGTCTTCATATAGCCCAGGTTAGGAGCAGAACAGTAGGACGTTAAACTCCATTTCATTTCATTTCAGTCTCGTGCTTTATCTTACACGTAAAACTTCAAACCAGTGACAGTGTTGGTGCACATGGTTTATTCTCAGATCAACAAATTAAAGCCCCTGATCCCCCCTTTTCGGACAATTTCAGAGCCGGATGAGACGAGATGCTCATAATAATTGGAATACAAAATAAGGTCCATAACAAAACACAAGTAATGCGTATACTGTTATAATTTTTCGTGAATAAAATTATTTTGTATTATTATAGCGCTCACACTGAGGTCATCATGCTTTACGACGAGGATCGATCAACCGTGTCGTCAAAATGGAAGTGCGGTTGATGGGCGTGGAATTTGATGAAGGTCAAGGTTGGGCTATCCCAGAATTCTGCATAACAAAATGGCGTGTTTTTATGGTTGATGATATCAATCGAATTACACACCATTTTCTACATTCCACGTTTATTACTAACCCTTAGTAAGATTTCTAAATGGTAAGTTAATATATATATGTTGTTTAAGTGTCGGGAATATTTTGATATACCGACGGATTTTTCCCAACTTTGTGAAATCAATACTCGATCGGAATTCACATTTATTTCTGTTTTACTAGTTTTGTGAATGACATACCAATCTCTGAATCTGCATCTGGCTATCATCATTATGATTCATTCGACATTCATTCAGACGTCTGTGGTCAACTCTTACATCAAAGAAATTCAGATGTCACAAATTATACCTAAGCATAAATATATATATATATATATATATATATTTATATACAAACAAATGATCATCAGGTTCAAACACCGATCTTTTATTCTATATCTATAGTCACGAAGACTTACTAAAACTGTTGGACTAGGCCTATTTATTATAAATAAATAATGTTGTTGTTCTTTATTACAATTTTAACGTGCACATTAATTATGGACAATTTGATATAATTAAGAGTATTTACGCATGAAGGGGGTATTAAATGGGAAAATACTTAGAAAAAAGTTATTTTTTAGTTTGTGTATTATAGGAAATCTGTTTGATTACATGTATGATTGTATGTTTTTGTCATTTCGGACCCGCGTCATTTCAGACTTACAACATTTCAGACTCAAAAAAAATATGGCCCTGACGTTTTAGAATCGGGCAGGTGACATTTCAGACTTGGGTAGGTGACATTTCAGACTCAGGAATAATTTGAAAGGAATGGTTGAACACAACTGTCAGATCAATCTATAAACCAAAAATGATTTGATGAAAAATAACATGCAGGTAAAATTTACTGCTCGCAATCAAGTACAGCACATGGAATCGTGGATCAAGCACTGTATAGATCTCTCAAGGGAACTGCAAAATTTTCAATGTTGAATGTTTATGAAAAGAATGTCTCATTTCTTTATATCTGTAATATGTTAAAGTAGCTGATTAATTTATTAGAAATAGGCCAGTTCAAAACACGAAAAAAATATTAACTTGAAACATGTGGTTATTAAAAGACTCTACCAAACGATAAAACATAGTTGCACTTACGGTTCTTATCATCGTTTCCCGTAAAAGTAATTTATTTTTTTTAAAAAAGAGTAATATGCTGTGTTTTTACAAGCCTCTAGAATTTTTTAGCGATAATCTGTAAGCTAAACGTTGACATGCATTCATTGACCAGCTTACCATAGATAGCAGTACCAATCGATAAATTAGTGCGTACAAAGAAAATTCTTTTTGAAAAATATTAGAAATGGCAACGATCAAAGTGGGATGATTAAAGCTGATTAATCGATAATCCCTATGTAGTATGCGCAAAGAAACCTTACAGTTCTTTACTGGATGAGGAAAAACGTTGTCAATCGGCGATAATGGAGGCTGTGTGTTGATTCGATTATTCCGACTCCTGTAAAAGACATTTAGGCTTTCACAATTATAAAAACATTAGCAGTATTACTAAATATACACAAATTTTCAACAATATTTTATTGTCATGTTCAATACTCGCCGATAAAACAAAATTAAATAGAACAAGCAGTGTAAAATCAGTGTTATCTTTTATTAGCGGTCTCAAGAATCGCCAATCAATTAAATAAAACAAAACAACTATCTGACTGACATAAAACGAAAAAAAAAAAACCCAAACAGCTATTACAAATATATCAAACAAATTTTCAACAGTCTTTTAATTATTCATCCAAGTCCAAAATGTCGCCAGACCGAGTCGGAAAAATCGTCAAGTAAGTCCGAACCGTCGTCAAACTGAGTCTGAAAGGTCGTCTGTGTTGAGTCCGAAATGACGCAGGACCGAAAATGAAGTGCTACCATCTGTTTCACGGAGATATTGCAAAAAGTCTCCTTTAGTAGGCTATAGCTCTGTACTGCTTTTAACATCTGACATCAAATCACGGGGCGTCAATCATTGGCTCAATGGCACGTGCATTTACATTACATAAGACATTACTGGTCTGGGTAGAATGGTGCCTTTTACTCGTTTCACATACCCATTTACACTAAATAAGAAATGTTTTTTACCTACATATACTTCAAACATCTTTATTTATTTTTCTAATACTTAGATTATAGAAAAAAATATTTTAGAATTTAATTTGTTGGAGGAAAATAGTTAATATTTGGGGGCTCCTTATCAGTGATTGTAGTGGCCTAGCGAATATTCACTGCTGATCAGTGTGATCTATAGGGTGTATGTTTTGATAGCTATGATTGGAGGATATTTATGTCTTTCTGAAAATAAATTTTTCATTTACAATACAAGAAGACTAAATTACATATAAAACGTCAGTGTTGTCTAAAAAAGTGTCCATTTTGAGATGGCATTGGATTTGTTTTTTATTTTGTCATTTTAGTTTGATCTTTTTAAAAAATTCATATTTAAAGTCTTAATAGTAAGTGCAGGAGGACCGCACTACACACAAAACAAAACCTACAAGATAAACCTGTGTACAAGACAGAATACATAGACATTGCAAGAAATAAACAACAATTATCAAATCAATGTTATCTAGGCCTGGCCTAATTAATAAATATCTGATAATCTGCTTCTTCTAATATTCAAGGTGGTTGGTATATTCAAACTTGGTGTAGCCCTAAATGTTTATATGACTGTCTCGACTGAGTTGAATATATTCTGGAAAAAAGCTGACTGGGTTGGTTTTGTTGTTTAAAAATGCAGTTAGGATCTGTTGGCTTGTAGATTGTGTTTATAGGTGATTGTGTTAAGTCTAGGGTTAGAGCATGATTAGTATTAAAACATGGTGTGATAGAAAATAGGTTAGATAATAATTTAATGTAATTTAAAAATCAGAATAAAATAAACAGAATGAAATTGTAGTCTGACTAAATTAAACTTGGACTTCATAAAATGTTTCTATTTTCAGAAATTTTCTATTTTCAGAAATAACTTAAAACGTTTCTATTTTCAGCAATAATTTAAAATGTTTCTATTTGCAGAAATAATTTAAAAACGGCAAAAATAAAGCTCAAAGAGTGGTTGAAGAAGATACCATCTTCGATTAAGTTCCTTTCATGTGGAATGGCCTACCGTAGACACCATTCTTACAGAGAACGTCATTACGACACAAACAGCAGTGATAGTGATTATTCGGAAGCAGATGAAAGAAAAAAGACTTGTATTAAACATAAAAGGTAATTTTGGTTAATCTTTTGATTTATATCTAATTGAATAATGTAAGCATAATTGCATACATATGATGTAGTGAAGAAATGTTTGTCTTGAATTGAACTATTTCTTTTGTAAAATAATATACATGTATATGAATGAAGTTCTCGCTGTACATCTTTTCTTAGAAAGTATTGATTCTTCATGAAATTTAACACTCAGATCATGAATAATTTAATGTATGAATTTTCATCTTTGTTTTAGTTCAATTGGTCCAACGCGATCTAAACCCTGTTTAGTGAATAGAGTAAGGTCGTTAAGTTTGGAGAATACAAGCAGCAACGAAGAAGGTCCATCAGAGCCCAGTCACTTGAGAGAAGTAGTGTCTTATTCATTGCCAAGAAGTCATCATCAGCAAGCAGCGGTTTTATCACCGCGTTATCCACTTTATAACACCAATAGAGATGACCGTTTTTTTTTCGTTGATTTTGTTGACAAGAAAATATCTAGCAATAATAACATGTTGAATCCACCTACAGTAGCTGTTAATCCACTTCCGAAATGTGCCAGTCCCCGTCCTGGAGGCGAACGGTTGACCCTGGTGGTAGATGATACCCGGTTTGTTGTTGATCCCGAGTTGTTTCGAGCTCAACCTGAAACTATGTTAGGAAGGTGATTATGCTTTGTATTTTCATCAAGATTATACACGCAAATTAGTGATCAACTTGAACAGAACTCTTATATAATGCTGTAATGGTCCTCTAAATTTAGTAACTGATCTAACTGATAGAAACAATCTTAGTAACTGCATCATTAATATGATTACTATTTAAAGATACACATTCGTTTTAACATATTTTCATCACTTTTTGCTTTGCATTTTAAAAATATATCTAGGCATGGGGCATTTGAAATTTAACTTGTTGCTTTCATTTATTTTTTTCTTCAATTTATTTGTAGAATGTTTACATCATCTCTTGAAAACAACTTTACTCGTCCAAATGAAAGAGGTGAATTTGAAGTTGCAGATGGCATTTCAGCTCCTATTTTCCGTTCAATTTTGGTAAGAAAATATGTATATGGGGCGTTTTGGAGATATTCGGGATCAAAGGTCAAATGAGGTCATTTGCTCTGAAAGTGAATACGCAGCCATTCTTGTATCACGAAAACATGCTGAAAATGATTACGGCAGACTGATTACCACTCGGCATTGTATTCTACGCAAAATTTTACTCTTGGGTCTGGTTTTGTGCCCATTTGATGGACCCTGCACCTAGTCCCTGGTCTAATATTACTTCATAAAAAAAAGCTGTGAGCAAAGTAACTACCTAATTCTTCAAAATTTTGAACTAGTTCACCTCTTATTTTTGATACTGTTTACCTTATTCCATTTTAGTCTTTAATCTGCCTCGGGAGTCGGGGTTGGGGGGCTGGATGGCCAAATGGTTAGCGTGTGTGTGTTGTGTATCATAAGGTCTGTCATTGAATCAACTGGCCAGATTTCGATTTCCCGGTTGTACGTGACAAGGAGTAGGGTCGCCTGTCCAACCTCGTAGGTTTTCTCTGGGTCTTCCGGTTTCCTCTCACTACTAAAGAGCCCTACCATATGTTAGTCCCGAAATGACCTAGTTTGTGTCGAGTGGACGTTAAACCCCATTTATCTCTCTCTTTAATCTGCCTCTGTTTACTTCTGTTAGATAAGAAATTAATGTATCATGAAATTAATGCAAGCCTAGATAAGTTCTTACCAAAAATTATTGCGACTCAAATAGCGATTAAAAACTTCCTGTTCAGTTGAAATTGATGCCACTGATAATAGGTCACACTTAATTTCATGCTCTTGTTAATTTTTTGTTTTACAGTATTTTTATTGTTTTTCATATAGTCTTGAGAAGTTTGTTTCTTCTTGAAATCATCTTGCATTGTTTTTTATCAATTCAGGATTATTATAGAACTGGTATTGTTCGTTGCCCTCCAAGTACACCAGTCCATGAACTCCGAGAAGCCTGTGATTACCTGCTCATTCCTTTTGATGCTACAACTGTGAAGTGCCAAAATCTAAGTACGTATGCTTATGTTTGATTAATAAAAATACTTCTCAGATTTTTGGTTTTTATATTCCCACAAGTAGAGCCGGTTTGTGTTAAAACTGATCTAAATCATAATTTAAGCAATATGATTTATTAATTATGAAATAATCAATAACCCATACCCCCCAAAGATAGATGCATATGATACATGTACCTGCCATTCAATACTTCTAGAGATATATCCGTTACTTTGTCTCCCAATTATTAAGATGGATTTTTGATCTGTGTTTAGACAACCAAATGGATTTTTCATATATACTATTAAAAATTCATTGAAAGCTATTGAAGCTTTTGTTATGTAGTGTGACAGTCGTGTTCCAAATATACACTTTATTGCCAATCTTCAAACTTGCTGTTTATAAAAAAATTGAATGTAGGTCAATAATTTTTTGCGAATAACACCTCTGATCTTTTTTTAAATTACAATAAGCAGCTTTTTTCTGCAAGAGTTTCAAAGGATAAGGCATATTTTATAAGGATGTATTTCATCATGTATCACTCATTATGTGAGATCATGTGACACCTGTTTGATGCTGTGTACGGTTTGAAGTTTGTCTGTTGGGTACATGGACTTCGTAAAAAAAAAAATGAGATCAGTTTCATTTAGTTGTCAGGGTGATTACATTTCCTAAGTGAACAGGTAAGTCTTCATTGACCACCTTACCACATGTTTAGCATCCAGAATTGTTGTGATGAGACTATAGGAATATTAGATTATCAGCTACATCTTAATAATCTCACAAAGTTGATTTGTAAGATGCAGTTTCTATGTTTGTCCTTGATGATATCGTAAAGGTGTTAGAATAAAAATAAAGCCACCTTATTTTCATGAATATTGTATCTGATTATGTTGGATGGCATTGGTTACCTATACAAACAAATTGCCAGTACGGTTTCAATTGTGTAATTTTACAAAAACAACAAATGTAGTAAGTAGTAATAGAATTTTTCATGGGTTTATGTACTGTTAACAAACATGTAAAAAAAAATTAAACTGTTAGTTATTTACTTAAATAAATTGCATGTATATCATCTCTTCTCAGGAGGTTTCTTGCACGAATTATCCAACGAAGGGGCCAGGCAACAATTTGAACATTTTGTAGAAGAATTGATTTTACCGGTTATGGTTCAGTGTGCTCAGGTATGTAGACTTACTAATACTATTTGTTTTGTCTTTCTCTTCTAATGGTAAGTTTTAGTTTCTTCAATTTGTTAACTGAAAATATATGATATTATGTAAACTGAAGGTAAATAAAGTATTTAGGAAAGATTTCCTGTCAGAAAGTACCTAACTATTCCTTTCAACCACATGGTGTCAAAGGCAAATCTGAACTTGGGCATCCCTTATTTATTTTCCTTGTTTTACAACCCTCCCGCAATGGGTGTTCCAACTTTAGATTCATTTTTAGCCTTCCAACCCTGTTACAGGTGCTGCACCAACACCTATCTCTTTACTATTTCATGTTTCAGTCACCCCGACATTATGTCACAATCTGACTCCCGACGTCATAGTTACCGTCTTCCTAACATGGATGCCTGTGAACAACGCGAAAAGATTCTCTCCAAACGATGTCCCCTTTTAAGACACATCAAGGAGAGGCATCAACCCAAAACATTATCTTGTCATGATTGTGGGAAAAAATATCGGAGGAAAGAATATCTCAGGAACAACCGATGCAAGGGGGCCTCAGCACCCCAGGATAGAATTGGGTACTTACTGTAGACCAGCTACAAAGAGCAATAAACACTACTATAGGAGATTGTCTGCGATATCACCTCGGTGGAAGCAAATGTAAACTACAACTAACTCACACACTATAGGAAAACTGGAAAATGTGGTCGTATATTGCTGTCGCCCCCGCCCGACAGTCCGTCCGTCGTCCAAGCCTTCTTATGAACACTCTGCAGACTACATTTATCATTTGATTGTTTTTAAATTGATATATGTTGTTAACATTACTGCGATGAAGACGCCTATTTAATTTCAATAATTTCCGTTATGGCCATTGTTTCCCTTTATTGCACCTGTATATATGGATCTTTTAAATTAGTGAAACAAAAAAGCCTATTGAATTTCAGCAATTTCCGTTAATTAGTTCTAGAGTTATATGCATCATTTTGAATTTCAGATATTTCTGTTAATTACGTCTAGAGTTTTGACCCTTGTTTCACCTTGTTGAACCTTGTGAATGCTGTAGCAACAAAAGTTATCATCCGATCTGTATGAAATTTATATGCATCATTTAAATTAATGAAACAAAGAAGCTTATTGAATTTCTGTTAATTAGTTCTTGACTTATGGCCCTTGTTTCACTTTGTCGCACCTTGTGAACGCTCTAACATCAAAAGTTATCATCTGATCTGTATGAAGTTTATATGCATTATTTAAATTAGTAAGATGAAAGATCCTATCAAATTTTAACAATTTCTGTAAATTACTTCCCGAGTTAAGGCCCTTGTCTCAGTATGTAGACCCTTCTGAACCCTTAAATGACAGAATTTATAATCTGATCTGTATGAAATGGTCTTGTAAATGAGCCCCATTGCTGTGGACGAATGTTTTGTTGCCTGGCAACCCACCTTTTCTTTCTTTGGTTGCTTTCTCTCCTCATCCTCTTAATCTTTAACCCTTTTGACCTTTTACAGGAGCTCTACACCTCCCTCTTTACCTGCCTTAGTTATACTGTACTCCCGCTTTCCAGGCCTAAATCCTTACCACAGTTTTTAGCCTTCCACCAAACCCTGCCTTTTCTGAACCCTGGTATAAGGCATATGCTTGAACCCCGCCTAAACACCAAAAACGGGAAAAAAGCCAGTCATACTGTACTTCTGCATTCTGTGCCTAAATCCCCACCCCAGTTTTTAGCATTCCACCAAACCCCGCCTTTTTCCCAATCCTGGTATAAGGCCAAAACACCAAACCCCGGTAAAAAGCCACCCATACAACCCCACCACACCTTGAAATTTTTCTGGGGTCTGGAATAGTATATAGAACCTCAGCAAATGAGTTTAATTAGTCTGAAGAATTCTATACGTACGAAACCAGTCACTAAAAATTGTGATAACTGGACAAATCGCCCACATTTATCTACTCTAATAATTGACTTTATTACATACATAAATGGGAATATTCTTTTTTTTCCAGCATGGTGAAAGAGAATGTCATATAGTAGTTTTAGCTGAAGATGATTTAGTAGAATGGGATGAAGAATTTCCACCTCAGATTGGAGAAGATCAGTCTCAAAGTAAGCAATATATTAAAGGGGAAGAGTAGTACAACCGTCTACATTTCATTTATCCCAATTGTTTAAAAGTTTTCCCAGTGTTAACTTAAATTTCATCTTTATTAACTTATTATATAGTCTGTTCTGTGGTGACATTGTGCTCACAATAATGCTGAGTTTTCTATTCTAATATTCTGTCATTATTCAAAAGCTATTCAAATATTTGATCGAATGAAAATGGACAATTTTGGGGTGGTTTAATTTTGTGGTGCATTTTCAGATGTTTAGAAACTACATGTATAAGTCTTTCAAATCAAGATATTTTCCGTTTTGAGATAATAGTTGATTTCATTGAATTAGTAAATATTTCATAGAAGAAAAATAACAGACCAAATTTCAGTAGTTTTATTTGACATCGAATAATGGATACTTAAAATTCAGTTGAAATAGCCTTGAAAAACTATTCAAATTAGATTTTTTAAAATATTCAAGTGCCATCTGATGTCCAGTAGTTGACAGAATGTTATAGATCTAAGAAAGGAGAATTTATCTAATGCAAGAATGTTTGTGAGAAATTAATACAAGTGGTCACAGGTTCAACTTTGTAACTTGTGAATTATATATGAATATAACTTACACCCCACTTATTTTTAAACCAGTTCAAAATTGCTGGGGTTTTTAAGACAGGATTGTGTTGCATTACACGTACTATAACCGAAACCAGTTTAACTGTTCTGACCACTTCGGTCGAAGGTTAGAGTTCACTACGTATTGGTAGTTTCATATTCTTTCTTCGGTTCTTGCACACATCTGCAAACAACTTTTTGTACCCATATTCTTGATATGTAAAATGCTTAAGTGTAGCAAATCAAAAAAGTATCGATTCTGGAAAGGAAATTTTGCATGTACACGGCATTATATTCTCAAATGGTATTACTTTGAAATAGATATGGATGGCGTCCTCTCCCCACACATAAATGAGGAAAAGTGTTTCGTCATCACCTCAATTCACCCCTCAATTATTATTAATATTATTGCTGCTTTTGATAACACTGGCAATGCATGTCCAAAGTGAGTGGAAGCCAGTGTTTTTAAGCCAACCAATTAAGATGGCCAAGATGAACCAGTTTAAAATAAAAAGCCTTCTCGAAGACAGGTCGCGAGTTGGGGTTTTTAAACTGGTTTATTTGCCCCACCTTTGTGTTTAGACAGACAAAATTAAACTGGTTTAACAATTGCCAAGGTTTTTAAACCAGTTCAACTTAAAGTCTGAATGGACTATAACATGTAAGAGTAAGCATGTAGGTGGATTTTTACACAATCTTATTACAGCATTTCTGTTAGACTTGTATTAAATATATAAGCTTATATAATGTTTAATTTTGTTTTATTTTTCAGTTATTACCAGCAACCATATGTGTCGTTTTTTTAAATATGTAGAAAATAGAGATGTAGCGAAGCAAGTTTTGAAAGAAAGAGGATTGAAAAAAATTAGATTAGGAATAGAGGGTATTTACATATTTTTCTACAAATCACATTCCATACTACTTCCCATCTTGTCTTTTTTTATACCTGTGCATGGCATAAGTATAGGTTAAGTGTTTAAATTAGAATGATGTTCAGAGATTGAAAGACTCGCACCTTTTGAATTCCTTTGATAATTAGTCCATCATGTCAGTTTCGAGAAGTCACAATATTAAATTTGAGTTATCGCTTTCATGGACTTTGTTGCTGTGTGAAGTTGTCGCTCAAAATTTGACATTCTATAAAGCAGATTTGGACACAGCTCTCAAACCCATACTTTAAATTGATATACTAAATGTATATATATAAATGGTACAAGAAATCAGTAAATAATGTACTTAATCATCATCTTAACATTTCAGGTTATCCAACATACAAAGAGAAAATCAAAAGACGTCCCGGTGGTAGACCAGAAGGTAAGTTTATAAATTAACTCATTAGTCTACAAGTTGAAAATAGCTAATGTATTATGTCTACACAAGTTAATTGAGTTTATGAATTAAAATGAATTAATAAGTTAAATTAGTTTACATGTTAAAACTTAGTTTACATGTTAAAACTTAGTTTACATGTTAAAACTTAGTTTACAAATCAGAACTAAGTGTACATGTTGAAATAAATTAGTTATCTGGTTGAAAGTAAACAAACATTAAAATGAATAAACATGAGTTAATTTACTATACATTACATGTTAAAATAAGTTAAAATAAACTTAATACAAGCTAAATCATACAGATTTAAATTATACAAAGAATATAATAAAAATACAATTTAAATAATTCTACTAGTAACTGATTATTATTTAAATTATTTTTTATTTATTCAACAGTTATCTATAATTATGTGCAAAGGCCATTCTTTAAGATGTCTTGGGAGAAAGAAGAGGCTAGGTCTAGACATGTTGATTTCCAGTGTGTGAAGAGTAAATCAATTACGAATCTTGCTGCTGCTGCTGACGCACAAACAGAACAAAGCATTGTCCAGCAAGAACAAGATGGAACAATTAATGTGATTCCACCCCAACCCTCCCCTTCTGAACCCTACCCAGGGGTACAGATACCCCCAGAAGGTGATGCTGAGTAACCATAATCCTGTTGAACTTTTTATCAATGTTTGTTTTGGATTTCTGTCAGATGCATGCTATAAAATAGCCATCTAATTCCATAGTACTTTACAAGAATTGAGTTGTGATTTCTTCTGAGTGTCTGATATGTTTCTCTGGTAAATATAAACCAATTGCATGACCACAGGAACCAATATTTTTGTAAACCTAGTAAAATGTGCATCAGTTGTTTTATAAATGGACTATCATATGAGGAATATTTTAATGGTGGCAAACCAGTAGTCTTACATGTAACGACTGTTAGAATATTGAACATTCTTGATTTCATCAGGTGCTGATTCAAGCATAATAAATACAAAATTCATTATTATTATTGTACAGTATTGAGTGTTATTCTGTTTTTTTATTTGTTTCTTTGGTAACAAACCTCCATGTATTGAAATTCAAGAAACTAATGTTAGTTAATATTTTTGGAGAAAAGTGTATGAAAAATTTTAGGTTATCATGTTCCAATGTAAATGGGCTGTGTGTAGTAGGAACATGTATTTTTTAGGCTCAAAGGCTCAATTTACTATTTTTGAGGAATGTCATGTCTCAGTTAACTTAAATGGTTAAAATAAACTACCAGAAGTTATTTACAAGGAGATAAAATCTGATAATCTTATCTCTATTAATCAAGTATAACTACCAATACTTCAATTTCTGTAATTGCAGTCAAATTGTATTTTATGTTAAGATCTAGTAAATATACAAATATATTCAAGTGAAAAACCTACATGTATTAAAGAAGTTGTGTTAAGAGTTAAAACAATTCAGTAGATCTGAAGTTATTTTTCCTATGTTTATTTAGATTTAACTTACATACTGCACTTGAGTAATTTGATCTGGGACCAAATTCTGTTGTATTATAATTTTGGGTGTATTGATAACCACAGCTTAATCAAATATTAACATATAAATACAGGTGTATTTAATTTAATGGCCTATTTATCCATTTGTACAGCCAAATTTTTATAACAATTTTTTTTTTATTCCTACAAGAAATGTTAAAAATATTTGATACCTTTTTAGGGTACATTTTGTATTCCAAGTTCAGTATAACATTTGATCAAGAGTATTACGTAGAGCCTTTCTAGATTCAGTTTTCTTAATATGTTTTATAGGTCGATTTGACTTTGACCTTCACTGCTACAAATTTCATCAGGATAATTTTACTAATTTACTATTCTCAGAGCCATTGTGCCATTGAGCAAGATGTGTCTTGGATCAATTTTTCTCAGGAATTGTTTAGAATGTTTCACTCCTCATCTAAGTAGTGAAAAAGTATGTTGTTAGTTTAGGCTTATAGCAGAATATTTTCTTTTGTTTGATTTAAATAACTATATTATTAGCGATTTTAAATATTGCAAAGCACTCACTGCTGGCTTAGTTAGAAATAAAATTCGACCTCTTACGTTTTCCTTAATTAAAGTATGTAGAGGTTGGGGGCTATGTATAATTATTGTCATAATATCCAAATTTGTATGTTTATAATTCTATATGTTTATTTGTTTGTTTATTTGTATTATTACAAGTTATATAATAAATAGTGTGTTGTTATTTGTATTTATCCATTTATATGTATTTTTAAATATTAAAGATGCAACGAAGAAAGGTTTTGTGTATGTATGAAAGCAGATTCAGTGCTGAGTTAGAAAAGACTACTAGAATTGTATTGTTAGCTGGCTTGGTCGTAGTGTAGGAACAGAGTTTTCTGATATATAATATAGGACTGTTTGTTCTATTTTTTTTCGAGATATAATTTTGAAGACTTGTTTTGTTGAACTGTTTAGATGTAGTGGTTTGAGTGCCATCCAACCTTATGATATTTGTCATACAATGAAAATCACGCTATTTTTTGTGTCTTATGGCTTGAACAATGATACTGTGTATCGCAATATTATAATGATGTGTTCACTTATCTTATATGTATATATTATCAAATAATAAAATAAATAAAAACAAATAAGAATAACCCTATTTCTTTAAATAAGTAATGTTTCAAGTTTGGTTCTCTCATGTCGTGGTAGATATTATTTGGATGGGACGGAACAACAAGGTCCACCCATGTACACATCGGTGTGCACATAAAAGAATCCTTGTCTAACAGAATTTGACGAAGAGTAGGTTGAAATGCCTTTGTCCAAGAACACCACACGTAACCATTGAATTTAAAGAAAACATAAAAGACTAAAGAATTTAAACCCATTCTCAAGATTTCTAAGAATGGTTTCCTCTTTTCAGTGTTTGGATTGGACAAAAAACCTGAGCTTCCATGTATACATACATGTTGACATGCATGTAAAAGAACCCTTGGCAGTTGAAATTTAATTAAATGTGGGTGGAAATGCTGACATCCTCATATTACACTACATAGCATATGCAGGTCTTCATTAGCCCCGTTCGTGCAGAAAAGTTGGAAATTAAACCCCATTTCATTTCATGTGATAAATTATTGTGAAATGTGAGATGATGATATAATACACAAATAATTTATAAACTATATAAGCTATTTCAAATTGTACATAAAATAAAAAATTAAGCATCCCATGTATATTTTAGGATGACTGGTTATGCGAGTTTTGGCATTAAAAATCTCACAATGAGCAACGAATGTGGTTTGCAAGTTGATTCCCCTCCCCAAACAATAATAAAAGTTTTACCAAACCTGGTCCCTGTATTGCCCAAAAACAATATCCACAATAAGTATGGAGAGAACACAATTTTAACTGAAGAAAATAATTATTAATAACTTTTTATTCCCAAATAAAAAAAATCCTCATTTATTTTTGTCAAACAAAGTATAGTCACACGTTTTTATTCTTTTTACATGACAAATCATAAATTTAACATTTGTCATTGACAAATCTAAAGAAAAACTTAAATTCTTTTGCTGGTGCAAATTGAAAGTAAACAATTTTTGCTTTGTAATTTGTATAATTTGTAATTTTTTGGGGGAAAGAAAGGTTAAATACGTGTAAAGTTGGAGATGACTGGATATGGTTTTATTTGTTTTAAATCCAGGAAGTTTGGTGTTGATAATAGCGAGCGGTAAGTAAAAGAGTCAGTGTCACACCAGGTAAACGAAAAAAAAAACTTGGCAAATTTTAATCATTTCAGACGTGTCCTTGTTGGCTATTGTTTACATTGTACAGTGACCACAACGAAACTAAGACGAACAGACAATGATTAGGATAACTATCTACTGTGTATTGGTTTTAATAAATGTAAGCTTTATATTAGGTGAGTAAACAATATTTAAAAAACAAAGAAAATGTTTCTTTATTCGGTATTCAAATTTTGAATAATGAATAAAGAGACAGAACGTGTTTAATTTATTTAATTAACTATAAGATGGATGCCTCTGCAGTATATGAAATGAAATGGGGGTTTAATTTTGCTCAGCAAGCGGCACTACGGCCTACTCTCACTTTCTAAGCAATTTCATACAATTATTGTCCATTTGTAAAGTTAACTTTTGTTACATTTAATTGACTTATAAGATGGCTGCCTCAGCAGTAAAAACACTTATATGTCATAAAGCAATACATTTTGCTTTTCGGGCTTGAATAACGAATTTCGAGACAGGATTTCAAATAATATTATCATTTTGTCTTATAAATTTCATATCATTTGTGTCCATTTGATTCAAATAATCTTATTATTTTTTCTAAACAATTTCTTATCATTATTGTCCATTTATCCAGTTGACTTATAAGATGGATGCCTAAGCAGTCAAAAAACAAAAAAACAACCTCTTTTCACTTTTATGTCATAAAACAATCCATTTTGCTTATCGAGCTTGAATAATGAAAAACGTTATTTGGGATTCATATTTTGAATAACGAATAACGAGACAGAACGTGCTTCGTTATTCGGGATTCAAATAATAATACTTTTTTTTCTCAGAAACTTCATATTATTATCATTAGTGTCCATTTCAGTCAATAAAAACAGTGTCCTCAAATGGACACTAAATTTGTAAGAAAAATGATAATTATATAATTGGATTGTTTTTTGTTTTTGACATGTAAGTGAAAAGAATTTATTACTGCTCAGACAGGCGATACGTTTCAAGTCAGTAGCTTGAAGCGTATATATGGTATTAGTGTCAGTGGCCTGTGGCACGAAGTAACAGTATATTGTCGCATACATAATATATTATGTCAACGCTTGGGCGATATAATATATTATGTCAACGCTTGGAACTAGGATGGAGGTGACTAGGCATGAACAAAAAACAAGATGGCACCGATAACAATTGTAAAAGATTATATTGTTAATATTAGAAAATAGTAGGCCTATAATCAACCGTCACGTGTGAAATTAAAATTATATAAACCATTTCTGGGATACGTGTGTAAACTTTCTTTCAGCTTTCAGATAGGAACAGCTCGAGCCTAACCCTAACCCTAACCCTAACCCTGCCCTAGCGTCAACACAATATATTATGTCGCCCAAGCGTTGACATAATATATTATGTATGCGACAATATACTGTTACTTCGTGCCACAAGCCACTGACACTAATACCATATATACGCTTCAAGCTACTGACTTGAAACGTGCAGGGTGGCTCAGACATCCTTCTTATAAATCAATTAAGTATTGTTTAATATAAATAAAAATTTACTTGTCAAATGGACATTAATGATACGAAATTTTAAAGAAAAAATGATAATTTTGTTTGAATCTCGAATAACGAAACACGCCCTGTCTCATTATTCGTTATTCAAGGTCGAAAAACAAAATGGATTGTTTTATGGCATAGGCGTTAGCGGATGACTGTTTACTGATGGGGCATCCTTCTTGTAAATCAGTTAGGTGCCATGGTGGCTCAGTGAGTGAGTCTTTTGCTCGCTAACCAGGAGGTCACGGGTTCGATCATGGCGTTGGCCTAGAGAGTTTATCGTGATTTTTCGATGTTATTCCCTTTTGTCTTTTGTTGGTAGAAGAGGGTATTGAAAGAGACATTGCATAGTCCTTTGGGTGGGTCGACATGCCAAAATAAGAAAAAAATAATAATTGCATTTGAATCCCAAATAACGAAACACGTTCTGTCTCGTTATTCAAAATTTGAATCCCGAATAACGAAACACTATTAAACTTTACACTGCCGAAAAGTGACGGAATTAAAAGGCTGCTTATCCCAAAAGAACTGAAGAACCCAATTAAGCCGATTGTCCCCGTGTGTTCACTAAATGGAGTTTCTCGGGTGGACTTTAAACCCCATTTATATCTCACTAATGCATGTTCTTAAAGGTACACAGACAAAGGGATTAACTTTAAAACAAAATTATAATGCTACTTACTTTATAAAATTCGAATAATTATTTTGAGTATTTCGCTGTTGATTAGATCTCTTGATTTATGAAAAAAAAACTCCCATTTCGGTTGTCTCTGATTTCAGCTTTTTCACGCTTGGATGATGGTATGCATATATAGTATTTTCAGACAGTATTTGTTAATTTCAGGCCAAGAATTATTATCGTCGAGTGCCTGCTATGGGGTGGATTTACCTTGTACGAGTCATCAACTACAATGTCCAGTCGATGCAGTGATCAATATTATAAGTGCCCAATATGGCTATAAATATCGATGCCAAACAGCCCTTGAATGTACAGCTTGCTGTTGGTATAAGGAAGGCGATTGTTTAGTTGAATATAAATCAGAACATTATAAGAGCTTGTTCAGGAATTGCTCCCTACAGAATCGCTGTGTGTTTCGAGCACCGTGGATTAGCCATACATTATGTTCAGAGCTTCATAGATCTTTATTAACCAGCGTGTTCTCTTACATAACCTATACATGTGTTGATGGTAAATATACATTAAATACTTTCATTAACAAACCGAAGTTTGTTGTAACATTGATAAGTTTTGTTTGCCATCATGACATCTGAATGCCCGGTCATGCATTTTTGTCTGTTAGGACAAAGGGTGAGGGGAGGGCCCTTGGCGTGACACGCCGGTTGGGGAGATTAGGTCGGTTAGGGAGGGGGGTCTGGCCGGTTGGACAGTAAATCAGGCCAGTTGGACAGTAAATCAGGCCAGTTGGGGAGTTCATTTCTACACAGAGTTCTTGGATACGGTTAGGATTACCACACCCCTGACAACAACCCTTGGTGTCTCTAATTCGGTGTGTTGGAATTTCTGGCCTCCCCATTCGGCCTGAAATTGTTTTTCCTCACTTGAAATACGCAAAAACCCGAATCTCTTCTTGTAGGTTTATAGTCGTGCTTCCAGTAGGCACCAACTACATAACTCAATGTCGGCATCTTTTTTTCATAGTACATTTTTTCTGTAAAAAAACTAAAGATGAAGTTGTGATTTTAAAGAAGAATTCTGTTTTTCAGTGTATGGTATGGGGTCAATAGATAACGTCCAATTCCCAGAGGAAACAACAATAAAGCCAACTCCTTTTATCGAAGGTATGGTTAAATAGGCACGTTAAGTATCAATATAGATAGGATCTATCAGCATCACTGGAAAATATCATCATGCAGTGGAAAATTTCATCATGCTTTCCCTGTAGCATTTTAAAGTTTTTGGAATATCTACAAAACAGGGCCTAGTACTCTATCTTTGAAAAGTGGTCGATGTGATCAAATATTTTTTGTGTCCCTTAATTGCCACCATACTTTCTTATTACTCTGTGGTTTTATTTCAAAGGTAATCATGACAAACGCCAAGATTTAACTGGTGATAAAATAAAAATGTTGCCCGACCAGAAACAACAGTTATTAGTTAACCAATACAACCTGCAGAGATTATCAGGAGGTAATCAGTATTATATATATATATTCATCATATTCATCATATTTTTGTAGCCGCCATAACATCCTCCCATTGCCATAGCAATGGTGTATATAGAGAAATACCTCCCCCCCCCCACCCTCTCATACCTCAAATGACTTATTGCCAAAGTAATAAAAATGGCGCATAACGTCGTATCTGTGTAATATAGGTAATAAAATGCCACAAGTTAAAACAACCTTTATGGAAAGTCCATCGAGTCGGGAATATGACGCGTTACACTGACTTACAAAAAGAATAATACAAATGATGTCACCCAGTATCTCCAAACTTCCAGAACAAACCTTTCGATGTTTTCAATTGTCTTTGTTTAAAACAAGATATTGTGATGTGTTTCAGGAAGAGTAAGAACAATTGTTATTTGTTCGGTAGTTGCCATAGTTTTTGTTGCTGGCCTCGTTGTTTGTATCAAAACACAGATCTACAAAAGGTAACAATTTAATTGACTTTAAACTTTAACAGTAAATTAATTCTAACATAAGCTATACAGAATAAACCGTTAATTTCATAGACAATAATCGCTGCACATTGGTAACAGTTTATACAAAATGTATAGATCTTTGTTGACAATAGTTCGGAATACGGTAGTTACAGACAACAAAAATGAAATGAAATGAAATGGGGTTTAGCATCCTACTAGACAACAAAAAAGACGATATCTTGGATAATCTGTTATTTTTGTTTCATGAGATGTCAATAGTTTTGATAAGTGATTTTGGCCATAGTCGTTCAATGAGGTCTCGGTGTTGACCAAGAAAGTTTCTCGGGATTTTCCAACCTGTTTTCCCCTTGTAAGGGATGTAGAATGAAGGTAGAGCAAGGGACACCGCCTAGTCGTTCAAACGAAACCCAAAGTTTCAATGTACACAGGGCAAGTAAAAGGAGCTAAAGCTGTATTCTTTGGCACCTAGAAATTGACACAAATGGGTCGCAACGCATATAATAATGTAATATAAACTGATTTACATTCAATCGTTATGTTTTTACTGTAATTTCTAATCAGTTATGTTCGGCGAAAGACACAAAGACTTAGTGTCCAAATTGAATTGATGTCTTACACCGGTAGTATTCTCCTGAGATATGTATAGCCTCGTTCATCGTTCATTGATTGTACTGGGCCCGTATTCAAGAAAACTTAAACTCAGATACAATCGAAATTTTAAGAAATACTGCAATTCGATTGGCTGACCAATATGCAAATTGGATATATGCAAATTGATTTTACTGGTCAGCCAATCGAATTGCAGTATTTCGATTGTATCTTAGTTTAAGTTTTCGTGAATAATGGTTCTGATATATATTTATATAAATTGATTGGTATATTTCAGTTCATTTTCTTTTTGCATATTATTTAGGTGTGTAAAAAGACAAGGGATCCAGAGTGACAACAAAAACAAAAATGAAAAGAGTGCACCGGTTTATCATGAATGTGAACCAAGTCGATATTCATTCATTGATAAGATCTATAGCTCTGTTACTCCCTGGAGGTTTTCTAAAACAGATTCTAACATTAGTACCGGAAATGATGTATCCACGGTTGACGCCCATTATGACAGACTTCATATGGACAGTAATACCAAGTCCATGACACGTGATCCCAATTATGATCATCTTCAACAAATCAGAAATTCTTCTGGATATGATCATTTGGGTGTCAACAGTATTTCTACTATAGATAAAAGTACATATAATACAACTAAAGATTTGTATATATAAGATGCATTATGTGAGAGCTATATCTGCATAATGCAGGTGTTATGTCTGGCTTCAAATGTTATGTAAATTATTATATAGATATTTAAACATATGACAAGCCAAAAATCAACGCCCAAGACCATCCGATGGCTAAGATATTGAGTGGATTAGATATCGTTTATTATAGTGGTAAATGGTACTTGGCAATTGAGACTACATTGTATTTAGATAATTTGAATGGTAATTTCAATATAGTGGTAAATGGTACTTGGCAATTGAGACTACATTGTATTTAGATAATTTGAATGGTAATTTCAATATATCAGTATTCATATTTCATTATCTTTTATTATCTATTGTAGTAAAAACGATCAGCTCTTTATGTAAATCTTACAAAATGCATATTTTTTGAGGATAAATTTATGTACTGAATGTATGTCTATTTATCATGGAAAATAAACTGGCCAAACCTCTTCGATTTATGCCAACACTAAATATTTCGATTCTGTACGAAGTTGTTAATAAGGATGTACAATCTAATTAAAACAGAGATTCTATTAAGTTTCCTTTTTATACGTCAAAATTTCGTTTTACTTTCCTTCAATGCGGAAAGAGGGGGGTTGGATGACCGAGTGGTTAGCACGTGCTTGTTGTATCATGAAGTCTGTCATTGAGTCAACTGGCGGGGTTTCGATTCCCCGGTTGTACGTGACAAGGAGTAGGGTCGCCTGTCCAACCTTGTGGGTTTTCTCCGGGTCCTCCGGTTTCGTCCCACTGCTAAAGACCCCTACGCGAAAGCGAATTATTGAAATAAAATTGAACCATGTTTTAGTCCCGAAATGACCTAGTTTGTGTCGAGTGGACGTAAAACCCAATTTCTCTCCCTCTCTCACCGCGGAAAGGCCACCAGGAGTATTAAAAAAATGAAACGAAATATAGATCTGTATGTTAATCAGATTATATGCCAGTCTGGCTTGGTTATCAATTTTACCAGATTAAGCCAAGATTGATATTTTTAATCGGTTCATTCCCATATCGCCGACTCACTGAGTTTTAGGGGGAAAATTTTGGTCGACGTTATGGGAATGAGTGGCCAAGAACAATAGACCCAAGCTGAAGGATAAACCTCATTAAGCAGATAATTTTGGGAGAATTTTTTTTTTTTTAATTTATAATACATAACATAACACAATTTTAAATTTTTGCACGCATTCCAACATAGTCCAAAAATTCTAATAAATTCAGTCTTCCTTGTTCATATCTATAACATCGTTATGCACTCTAAGGAGTGCGGTTTCAGTGCTATGCCCCTCTCGATAAGCAGACTGGAATTTACCGAGCAGTGAGTTTCGAGTGAGATAATCTATTATTTGAGATAAAATGATCTTTTCAAGCAATTTTGCTAAAAATGAAATATTTGACACTGGTCTATAACTTTTGTGTGCATTACGGTCAAGACTTGTTTTTTTAATCAGAGGTCTTACAATGGCCCCCTTACAATCATCCGGAAAAATACCAGAGGAAAGCACATCATTTATAATAATCGTCAAAGCTGGTGCTATTTCATCCAGACACTCTTTTAGTAGTTTTGTAGGAATTGGGTCCAGAGCACATGACTTACACTTCATTCGACACGCCACTGATATTATATCATCAACATTCAATGGCTCAAAAGCAGAGAAAAAACACTGGGGTGGGACATTAATGTCAGTGTAAGGGGGGGAGTCAACAAACTTTTCACGAATTTTAATAATTGTCTCGGCAAAAAAGTCAATAAAGTTCTGTGGTAAAAATCAATTTCAGTGAACTATATTAATAATGACTAGTCCCTGCCTCATTAACGCTTTTAATCCGTTTAAATCCAATCAAAGGGTGCCGCGGTCGACTTTTCAAAACTCGGTGAGTCGGCGATATGGGAAGACCCCTTTTAATCGACCAATCCAACTGTAATTTTATATTGATTTAAATAAAAGTGGTTTAGCCCAGTTAAGGTTTTCTGCCAATTCGTGCATATTAATTATATAGAAATTGTAGTTTAGGACAGTTTTTGATAGCATGGACGTAAAATGGTCGTCTTGAAAGGGCTAACTTTCGAGATGCTGTATAATTATATACACCACAAAATGTAGATGACACAGTGGATTGTCCCCCATGTTCTGAGTTTGTTTTCTTCCTGACTGAAGCCTGTATCAATACAGGTCCGTAACCGTTAAGCGAATTTGATCTCTTCACATGATTTGATATATACTTTTGTCGTTTGTTATTTGCAATATCTGTTTATTGTGTGCGATGTCCGTGGGTTTTTCTTATGGGTGTGTGTGTGGGGGTGTGTGGTGCGCCTCCCCCTCCCACCAACTCCCCTCCCCTGCAACCTGACATGACTCCTTCATCTCTACAGATAGCTGTGTGTTTTATTAAGCAATGATAAACTCTCACGACAGTTGTTGACACATGTACATACACATGTTAGTGTGTAATCGATTATGTAGAACCGTATTAACTGAATGGCATACTTTTTCTTGATTCGCTATAATGGAAAATTCATAGCACTGATCTGTTTAAACAACCAAATACTACAGTCTTCACGAGTTGACATTTTCTACTCAGATCTACATGGTATATATATAGTCAAATGGAAAAGTATATTATTATTGATCTAAGGCTGCCAGCTGAGTAAGACTATATCGTTAAATCTGTTTATAAAATTTCAAGAACATAATTATACAAGCGCATTATCGTGAATGAGTTTCGCAACAAATAGTGTTACTAAAAGCTGAAATCAATACAATTATAGAAAACTTTTCTTCGACGATTTAATACACTTATGTGCACCTTGCAAATTATAATAATTATTTCTTTAGGATAATGGTCGCACACTTGACAAGAAGGCACACGTGTGACACATATGCATATTTTAAATCATGGACTAAACTATCTTTTTAATAAATTATCACTGTCAACACGTGTTCCTCCTACATTTCAATATGGCTTTCTTTAGATGGATGTCGACGTTCCTTGTGTGTTTGGTTCCATGTATCCATGGTAACTGTAGAATTAGGGACAATGGTATACCTCTAAGTATAAATGAAGGCTACGAGTGGAAGGATACATGCGATACGTGTAGATGTACGAATGGTAAAGTAGTTTGTAGCGGTGGACCTAACTGTCCTATACCTCACTCAGACACTTTATCTTACACCTGCCTAAAAGTAAGCCTTTTTTTATTGTGAAAAATTTATTTTTAAAGATTTTAGGTGGTTCGTTAAGATCAGAAAATTAATGACAATTTAATTAGGTTCTGGTAAATTTCTTACCATGCAACGTTTCAACTAGCAAATGCCTATCAAAGAATATAAATATTCATTCCTTGATGCATATGTATGTTTCAATAATTATTACTACCCCAGAAAGACAGGACAGTCTGTATATATTTAATTTCATATTCGTTAATATATACAGATTTATAACTTCTAGTAGAGAAGACAATAAGTTGAATAAGACATTTCGGATGGGTGAATAACTTTATTATCTATCTAGTAATCATTGCAGAGTCAAATTATAAATTAAACTATATACAAATTCTCATAATTTTAAAAGTGAGTTAATTATTTTTCGGTTAGCTCCCCTACACTGTGAGTTTTTATCGTAAACTGGCGTGAGTAATCTGGGATTTCGGAGGGGTTGTCGCACTTCAAGCTATAGCTATCCAGCTACCTCGGAATTGTAGTTCTGGGTTCGGTACCTTGTGTGAGCGTATGTGACTTGATGATACAGATACCTTCTCAATCGTGTGATTTTACTCAGCAAGGACCTTGGATTTAAATAAAGATTTCCCGGAGAGTGGAAGAGGACTTTGAATCCCTACCTAGAACAAGGTGTGAGGACCGGCGCGGTAGGGGAGGGGGTGAATGTAGAAGCCCTGCACGATTGCGCCACTTGCAATGATCAGTTCCTACATGATATAATAAATAACCTTGGATCATTGGATCAGACCCGAGCTTCTTGATAAGAAGAAATGTCAGTCTCTCATAGCAAAACTGTGTAATCTCGATATATACAATTATTGATTCGTATAATAACTTGCAATATACTCCCCACTTGGAAGGGGGTAGATATAATAGGACATATTTAGCGGTGGCGATGAGCATAAGATGGTGTATTGGAGGGGGGGGGGGGCGCTCCACATCTGCAGCGTGGGATGTGCTGTTAAAAGGAAAAAACGAACATTTTTATTCTACAAGTTCATCATTTAACAATGCACAATATTAAACAGCTTAAAACATCAATTGAGATGTGTTCGATTGTATTTCTCGAGCGTTCGATTGTATTTCTCGAGCGTTCGACATAATGATCTCGAGCGTTCGATATAATGATCTCGGTCGCTCGAGTTAATTATCTCGATCGCTCGACTTTTACTAGTGATCACGACTAAGTATCTCGAGCGACACCGTATTTACCAATATACAAATTCGCATAGTTTGAACTAAGGACAACACGGGTTAAGTGTTTCCAGTTATTCTTCGGTTATCTCCCTTACCCTGTGACTTTTGTTTTCGTAAACTCGATATATTGTTCTCAAATCTTGATTGCAATCTAATGAAACTGGTTTTGCAGCATCCTGCGATCTGTTACATGTTTCATTTTTTCTTCAGTGGTCAGCTGATAAATGTTGTTGCTTAAAGCAAGGATGTGTTGGTTTTGATGATAAAGAATACATGTTTGGGGATTACATGCCAATGAATGCCAGTGGTTGTCAAAAATGCTTATGTTCTGAATATATGTTAACAGCTAAATGCTTCATTGAAAAGACAGACGCCTGTTCTAAAGAGAAGCGTATGTTGATTTTCATATATCAACACATTACGAGATCGAGAGAGAGAGAGAGAGAGAGAGGGGGAGAGAGTGCGTGGGTGGAAGGAATTATTAGTGAGCAGAAATTCGCCCATGTATCTGTTATCACTCGTCACTTTAGTCAGTTATATAGAGGGATGGCTCGTGTTTTCCTTTGGCGTTCGCCACTTCCGATTCAGGAAACCTGTATTACTCAGCTATCGTAGTAATGACCTCTGTGTTAAAATTATATTTGGAATGTGTTTAACCAGCTCTATCACATATGTGATAATGACTGGCACCAATATTGTCCTTTAATAATTTTGTTTTACTTTTCAGATGATCATCCATTTTCGTCAGATCATTTACATAGCCATATTAAGAACAAATAAAACAGAAACGAGACAGTTATTTTTGTATACTTATTGTTTGTTGAGTTCGGAAGTAATTTGTGGCAAATTAGTCGATCCTAATATATTTATCATGGGTTAAGATAAAGAAGGGAGACACTGTAACTGAGTGAGTAATGCACAAGCTCACTAACCACGATGTCCGGTGTTCGGTCTTCATTAGATCTTCATTTACTCATTCATTTTCATTCATTCCTTAAGAAATAAAATGAAATGAATTCAAGTAGGTTTTAACGTCCTACTTGTATCCATTAACTGGGCGAATGAAGACCCGCAGCCTAAGTCACGCAGTGTATTATGGTCTCTATTTACTGCAACTCGTGATCACGTTGCCAAAACGGACCGAATGGATTAAATTGTCTTCCTTTACGCCCCCACCCCACTCCACCCCCGAAAAAATCGTTGTAAATGGTTTTACTCATAGAGTTACTATTGCATTAATTTAATAACGAGTTTCCATTATGACGCCACAACATAGCGCGCAAGTCTTAGTTAACGTATAATTCTTGGAGGTATAGCAAGGTAACCAAAACTAAGAAAATGGGAGGCAGATTTTCAGCATGTTTTGGAAAGCGGAGCAACATGATAGTGCCCGATACAGTTATTCATACTAGTCAAGATACCCCCATAGACAACGCATCCGTCACAAGATTTTACCCAGAAAAAATAATAACACTGGCATCACCACAGTCCACAGAGGTTCAAACTAAGTTTCCAGTGGCAGTGACATGTAATGAGGAAGGGGATGAAGACGGCATTAATGTCCAGATACAAAACAACAACGAAGATGAAAGAGGAAAGCTAGGAATTTATTGCTGTAAATTCCTATACAACGATACGTGGGTAATGTATTAGCCCTGCTCCGGGCCATTTACATAAACAGAAACCATTCAGAGCCGTCACCACCCCAGTCAACCGGGTTGATCTTAAAACCTTACAACTGGCAACCGTAAGATAGATCATATAATTGTTAAGTGGATGGAAGAATTGGTTTCCAAATTTTATGAATGCAAATATTTTAACCTGTGAGAACGCAGGAATCTCCTCTCTCGCCGATTAGATGGAATATACTGTCAACAAGTAATTTTGTTATTGTATAATGGTGGTCAAATTGTAATAAACAGCTATTGATGATAGCCTGGAAGCCTCATATAGTGAGACAATTGGTGTAGGTAGGGTAAAACAGTTCAGTTTCTACAATACCCCAGCAAACTCTATGAGAAAACATATTTCTTGCTTAGAATTAGATGTTGTTTTTCTTCCAAAGACTCTGGAAAGCACATTGTTACTGTATATCTAGGTCTCGTTGCAAATTGCTAATGTACGTGAAAGAACCTACCTGGGTTGCGTGTAGCCCCTGGGGATACGAAGCATAAGGCTAAGGGATACGAGATATGGTGTCAAATTCAATGCTGTAGGCTATACCTACTAATATTTATATTGCAATAATACTAATCATGCGCTGTGTAAGTACGGTTGTATTTGAAAGACTATTTATGTCTTATGTAGGCTATTCAGTATATTTGTATATATTCAACGCATTGAATAAATAAACTTACATTGTATTTCATATCAATTATTTTAATTTCATATATTTCCGTAAGTCATTTTAGACAGGGTGTACGGAGAAATATTATGAAAGCTGAATGGGTACGAGCACATAAAAAGGTTAAGAACCACCGACCTAAAGAAAGACCGACAATAGGCAGATTTAGCTCTTGCATAATTTATGTTTAACACTTACATAACCTATCAGATTTTACCGGTGTTATACTTCTCTTCTACTCTAGAATGAATTATAAGACGATGGTTAGGATCAAAATCTGCCATGCGTACAAAGCCGTGCTTTATTTTCTGGGTTTCCTTTTATATTTCTTGAGTGGCATTTAGCGATTGAGGGCATTAAAAAAACACAACGCAATTTATATGGAAAACAATCACTGGTTTATACACATATATAACGACGTTTCGACAAGTATTTTCTTATCGTTTTCAAGTACCCAGTGCGCAAATCAAATGTACTAATAATAGTTTATGGTCAGTAGAGGTGACATCATATTTCCCCTGTTCAAGGGCAATCGTCTTCATCCCAATTGCAATGTTGACAACCTTTAAGGGGCTACACCTCTTTGAATTTGGGTTCGCAACCGAGGAGTATATATTTTTTTATCTCAATAGCAGGGGGTTAAGTCTAAATTTAGTGTTAAATATTAACGACCACCGTGACTCCTAAACGAAGTGAACCCAATCATTGGCGCAATAAATTCCGAAACGGACCATTTTAGTAAGTAGTTGTTATACAGTAATATTATAGAATCATAGTGAGTGACATGTACAAGGCGACATGTTTATCTTATTTGAAAACTATTGTAATCTATACTAATATTTGTGATTGTTGTTTGTTTGTCTGTCTGTGAGAGGGTGGAAGGGGCGGGATGGCCGAATGGTTAGCAGGGCGCTGTATCATAAGGTCTGTCATTGAGTCAACTTACGTGATTTCGATTCCCCGGTTGTATGTGAAAAGGAGTAGGTTCGCTTGTTCAACCTCCGGTTTCCTCCCACTGCTAAAGAGCCCTACGCTCAAGCGAATTATTGAAATAAAATTGAACCATATGTTAGTCCCGAAATGACCTATTTTGTGTCGAGTTGACGTTAAACCTCATTTCTCTCTCTGTCTGTCTGTCCAGGGTTGACGGCTACACAAGGGCTTGGACCGGGGAATAACATAGGCCTCGTGGCGATTGACTACCTCTTCTGGTTTCGGAGTAATGGCAGCATAACCCCCGGCCGAAGCCGAGTATCCTAGTATAACATATTTTTAAATCCGCTTTTCTTATTTGTTTCACATTTTCTTCAAAATAGTTATGATGTAATGGATTAAGAAAATGTTGAGCTTAACTATAATGTAAGTTATTCTAGGGTCAAAAGTTCAGACTTATATCTACAAGAATGTTCTGATAAAAGACGACATAAACCGTTACTTAATATGTTATTAACATATAATACTGTATATATTATATATTGCATGTATAGTACAGGTAATAAAATGTTATGTCTATACGTTTAAAGGTTTCATAAATCCCGATTATGAAACAGAGGTCATCTAGATAGTTCATAAACAACTTTTATTCAGTTCAGTTGGACTTAAAGATTAGATTACATGCTATCTTTATAAAAAAATAAAAAATCTATTGGAGATATTTGAAAAGGTTATCGGGTTATTTATTGTTTAGATGTGATATATTTCGATATGTTCTGGATATATTCACGCGTGCGTGAAACTAATTTAAGGGCATCCCAACCAACAAGACAAATTCATACATACGTACTTAATTAAATTTTAGATAAAAAATAGTATAAGGACTTTAACAGTTAATGAAAAGTTTAGTATTATTTTCGTAATATGCCTAAATAAAACAGGAAGATAATGAATAGAGATGATATTTGTATAAATTATTTAAAATACATTAACTATCATATGACTTTTACGTAATTTATAGCCGATTGTTATTGACTGATTAAAACAATACAAGTCTATATATATGTATTAGAATTGCTTATATTTATGTACTTCCTACATCCTTGACAGGATATCCTTTACATAATGTCGTGATATACTAGACTAGTACTATTATACAGGAATATATAAATAAAGGGAGTACTAATTCCCTCTCTCAGCTGAATTCGTCAAAATATTGGAAATGAGTGGGGGTATGGGGTTTTGTAGCAAAAATTCGTTTTAAAGGTGCATTATGTATGATTTAGATAAAGAGCTGGTCGTTCTTGACCTAGTTCAAAAACAAGGAAAAATAAACATATTGAAAATTTTACTCAAAGTACTTTATCGCAGCGGTACTTGACATTTTTAAAATCTGCCATGTGAATTAATGTCTAAATAATACTTTATATGTTTGAAGCCAGCAAAAAGACCTAGTTTTGTTCTTTTTCTTAATTTATACTATTTACAAGAGAGAGAGAGAGAGAGAGAGAGAGAGAGGCGTCCACTCGACACAAACTAGGTCATTTCGGGACTAACACATGGTTCAATTTTATTTCAATAATTCGCACGCGCGTAGGGGTCTTTTAGCACGAGGTTGGACAGGCGACCCTACCCCTTGTCACGTACAACCGGGGAATCGAAACATCGCCAAAAGGCGATGAAAAAGCCTTCTAAAGCAATGCAATTTAATAAAACTATTTTATGAAGGCTTTCCCACTCCCTTGTTTTTACCTTCACGTACATGCTATATTATAGCCAGACTATACTTTGTGTGATTGTCTTTATATGAATTAAAGTGGTAACATATACTTTAGATTAAGATGTTTTGTTCAGAACATTGGATGATTTTATAAAGTTTTATCTTTAATGTGTTTGGTTCGTTTGACATTCACATTATCACGCTTGAAATAATAACCCGGTATTTCACACTTAATTATAAAAAATAAGCTTTCAGTATTTAAATATAAATCCCCTTTCTTCTTCATTAGCTTTACAAGCAATCTTCGTGACTATGATAGTTAGACAAGGTATGTACTTCAATATATGTTTTTATTTTGGTACTATAACTTATGGGTTTAATACAAGTCCTGAAAATGCATAGAATAATAAGTTATCCCCGAATGACCCTCGATCGTTGGTATTACTACAATATTGAAAAATGGTCAGGATTTAATAATAATAAAAAAGTATATTTTAAGTGTTAGTTGAATTTACGTTACGAATTTCTACCCATTCCAAAGATCATTTATTGCTAGTTCTGGGGGAGCCAGTGACGTCACGATTGCAATCTGAGATAGGTCAACGACTGAAGAGCGCCATTTCCAGCACGGTTCAATAGATCTAAAGTCTAGCTCGAATATTCGAATATTCTACATAAATTTAATCCATGTAAACTAGTTTGTAACAGGAATAACTATTTCAATAATACCAGCTCTTCATTAGGAATATTTATGGCTGCTCTGAATTGCATTATATGGCTTTAGCAGTTGGTTCACAGACCC